AATTTCGACGAAATTTCCTCTAGAGAGTCAATATCGACGAAATTTCCTATAGACGAGTCAATTTCGACGAAATTTCCTATAGACGAGTCAATTTCGACGAAATTTCCTATAGACGAGTCAATTTCGACGAAATTTCCTATAGAGAGTCAATTTCGACGAAATTGTCTATAGAGAGTCAATTTCGACGAAATTTCCTTTAGAGAGTGAATTTCGTCGAAATTTCCTTTGGACAGTCAATTTCGACGAAATTTCGTATAGCTAGTCAATTTTGACGAAATTCCCTATAGGTAGTCAATTTCGACGAAATTTCCGATAGAGAGTGAATTTCTACAAAATTTCCAAAAGATAGTGAATTATTGTAAATATTTTAAAAAAAAAAATTCAAATGTGGACTTGATCACTTTTTCGTTTTCAAGCCAGCGAAATTGTGGTTAAGCTTGTTTATGTCAACTATTTTATGAATTACCTTTTTTGGGCTACAACAACTAAAAAAGCGAAAAACAAAACACACGCCCTGAAATGGATATATCAACAAGGCAACAACAGCGTACCACAAGAATCATTTGGGGGCAGATATTGCAAATCGATCATCGATTCGATTGTGTGGAGATGAGCAACACACACACGAAGATTACAACGAGGGCGATGCATGTATTTGTGGTTAAGTCAAATTCACGAAAATATCAAAATCAGGGGCGGAGAAAGAAAGCAAAATATAAAGAAAAAACTTTTAAATAATTACAAGTAATAGCTCTGTTCCAGAACCTACAAGTTTTGCATTTTTCGAGGTAATAAAGGGAAAATCGGTTATCGTAGTAAAAAATTTGAAATTCTTGCAGTTCTGGAACAGAACATATATCATACTTATAAATATAAACTCTGAAGGGTTTTAGGAACAATCTAATTTTAAAAATTCAATCTCAAAGAATGGTTTATTTTCCACGCCCCTGCCTCATGAAGTTATGATAAATGAGGTAATATCAGTGGCAGACGCACCGGTAACAGCATCGGCAGCATCAACAACTCGATGCCGATGTTTGAAACAAATAAAAACTGATATCGACATCTCGTTTTTTGAGGTAAAAACAAAAGACCTGTGCAGCAGCCCAACCAGACGGCCGGACAGACAGGCGATACTACTGGTGGACACTTGTACTTGATTATGTGACGTATATGGGGTGGCAGCTATTTTCGTATGAAAAAAATGCAAAAAAAAAAAAACGTTTCGATGCCGTTGCAATGCAGTTGGCGTGATTTAGTCAAAGCGAGTAGACGTTCGGCGGCAGTGTGCATTTCTATCAAAATAACATAATTAATAATAAATTAATTAAAGAAGAAAATAATTAAACGTAAAACTTTGTGATAAACAAGTGGAAAATAATTTAATAATAGTAAAAGTTCTAAAACTGTAACGGAAACAAACTACTCTCGCCTAAAATCAAAATGTGTCAATGACAAATGGATATTTTTATCCATACTCCCACACACACACACATCAACGCTCAATCACACACACGCGCGTACAAGATGTAGTTTTTCCAAATAAACAAACTTTCTCCCTAAGTATTCCTCTCTCATCAATGGCTTTCTTTGGAGAGTTTGTTTTGTTATCAAATATCGATTTTTTATTGTCGTTGCTAAGTATTTTGGAGATTTGACACATTGCTCTCTGCAATGATATTTGCGAATTTGTGTAAACAAAAAACACATGTTTATGTTCGTCGCAATCAATGACATCGAGAAATGATCAGTGTTGTATGGGCAGCAATGAACATAAAAATTAGGGAATCCAAATCGGAATTATTTGGTATTTTTAATGGAAGACAAACAAGAAAAAAACCGCCAATATTCCATTATTTAAATATATTTTGACTTCTGCTATGATTATTCAAATTGTAAACCCTCTCTGGAGTAGGTGCTGAAGGAATTGGCCAATATTGTCGGACCTTAATAAATATGATATAAATATTGCGAAGTGCCAGGTTTGGACTATATTGGATACTTCCTTCACTTAATATGGGACATGTGAACATTTTTAGAAAATGTTAGAAATGTGTGTGAGGTACCAGATATAGTCGACCGAAGTATTCCATTTGTATACCTTACACCATACATAGTATAAGGAGGGTATATTAAGTTCGTCATTCGATTTCTAACTCATCGATATTAATCAGGGTAAAATTCTAAAATAATTTTGCCCTGTCCTTCCATCCGTCCGCCCCTTGTAATCACGTTAGAGTCAAAACGAAAAAAGATAGGAAGCTAAAATTCCGCACTTCCGACTAGACTTTTGCCTGCAGGCAGGTCAAGTTCGATAATTGACTATTTCGGTAATTGATAATTGACTATATTGACTATATCGGTCCATGGTATCGTATGGTCCCATATAACGGTACATCCCAATATTGGGCATTTATAAGGATTTCAGCCACATTTTTCAACGAAATTGTCTGAAAATAAACACAAGGAGTTCCTTTTGAGTACTTTACCCCCTGGAAGCGAATTGTCTATATACAGGGTGGGATAAAAAAAACTGCAACAAAGTCAAACGCCATAATTTTTACATTTTTTTTTTTTAAATTTTCTTGAATGAAAGCAAAAAATGTCGGAAATAGCATCAAATTTTAGAATAAGTTTTGATTTGTTCGAATTGGTCACCTTTGGCACGAATTATGGCCTTCAAACGCCCAATGAAACTGTCACACGCTGCCCGAATGTTGCTCTGTGGTATTTTGGCCCATTCCCGGAAGCGAAGCGCTAGCTTGAGGTGATCGACACTTTGATATTTTTTATTGCCAACCTTGCTTTCCAAAATACTCCAGACACAATAGTCCAATGGATTGGTATCCGGAGATTTTGGTGGCCATTATGCCCTAGAAATGAAGCGAGCAACCTCATTCTTGGGTGGCGCCTGCTGAGTGCGATGGTGCTGTGGCCTGTTGAAATGTCCAAGGTCTGCGGCCAAAATGTTTGCGTGCCCAAGGCTTTAATACACCCTCCAGAATATTTTCGCGATAATATTCGACAAATTTTCTGCTGATGCCACGGTCAATTAATACGAGCGGAGAGCGACCATCGGCTGGCTCTATTTTCTTCCAGTGGCGGTGTACGTTCTTGCGCTTTTTGGAATTTCAATGGCTTTACCCCGAGTTCATTTTTCAATATTTGCCGAAAGGAATATTGCGATATGTTCAGCTTACGAGCCATTTTTCGCCGACTACGAAGCGGGTTTCGCGGTTTGACATTCCGAATTTTGACCGTTTGTGGGAGAGGTACCAGAAGGAGTGGGGTGATATATCCCATCTTCATAGCAGATCCTGTGTTAGTATAAAAAATTGGATATGTGAAATATGAAAATAACCGGATGCTTATTTCGGATTTTATAACCGTTTTTTTTTTTTCTTTGTTCAAAACTTTGACTCTTTGTGGGGTCGGTACCAGAAGGTATGGTCCGATCTCTACCATCTTTATAACTGATCTTGTCCTGATAGAAATATTGAGATGTGTTACGTCTGAATGGAATCGGATGTTATTTCCGCGTTTTATGATCTTTTTCAATTTTCACCCTTTGTAGGGCGGTACCAGAAGAAATGGTCCGATTACTTCCATCTTTATAACAGATCTTGTGTTGATGAAAATATTGAGATGTACCAAGTCTGATTAGAATCGGATGTTAATTTCGCGTTTTATGAGCTGCCTGAATATTCCGATTTTTGACTTTTTGTGGGGGAGGTACCAGTGGGAGTGGACCGATATATTCCATCTTCACAGCAGACCTTGTGTTAGTAGAAATAATTGGATGCTTATTTCAGATTTTATGGTCGTTTGGATTATTCAAAATTTTGGCCCTTCATGGGCGAGGTACCAGAAGGAGTGGACCGATATATTCCATCTTAACGCCAGGCCTTGGTTTAATAAAAATATTGCGATGTGTGTAATTTGGAGACAATCGAATCTTACATCAATTTTTAAAAGAGTTTTAATTATTTAAAATACCAGAAGAAGTGGACCGATATTACCCATATCCGAGCTTGATATAAGTTTGATAATAATATTACGATGTACCAAGTTTAGATCAAATCGGATACTCCCTTCGAGAGTTATCGTGCGCTAGACAGACGGACGGACATCGCTAGATCGACTCTAAATGTATTGAAACGGATTTGGTTCAAAGAGACCTAGGGTCTAAAACTATTATTTCGATGAGACACGTTTTGGCCGTATCAAATGATATACATATACCCTCTGTAGCCATATGGCTGAGGGCATGGTACAATGAAGAGAAGGTAGGTCAACTTTGAAAAAATTGCAAGTATAGAGGTCTACCTGTTTGGCTTGTAATGTCAGAATTACTATCAAAACAATAAAAAAGCAAACAACTTGTTGCATTGATTTTGAATAAATAATTTAAAACCGCGAAAACTGAATGAGTGGTCAAAATTTCTTTTCAAAATCATGTTCTATATGTCTCGTTTGGTTTATTTCGCGACAAAAACTGTAGATTTTATCGATGCATACGTCGCAATAAGCATTTTGAAAACACCCGAATTTGAATATTTTCTGAACAATTTTTTATTATTGAAAAGAAGACACACACATAAGTAAATGAAGTTGACATATTAAGCCAGAAAATAAAAAAAAATAAATCATATGGTAGTTCTGCCCTACCTTGAAATCATTGTACCATGGCTGAGGGTACAAAATCAATTAGCACAAGACAGGCACATTTCGAAATAAATTGTTAGTCTTACCTTTTATGACTAGAAAATACAAAATGGCAAATATTTTCTTTCAATAGTATCAACTTTTATTACCTGATCATTATTTCGTTTAAACTCTTAATTTCGCTATATCAGAATAAATTCCATTAAACACTTTTTCACTGCTGTTTTATTGACCGTACGTGTATTAAGTGTACGTGAGTGTGTGTGTTCTCGAGAGTAATGTAAACAAAACACCGAGAGAGAGAGTAATTTATTTTATTCTGTTAACGCGCTCTCGTCCCCCAGCAAAAAAGAACGTCAACATGAGTCAGTCGTGTTTGCCAGTACAAGCGAAAATGTCCAAAGCAAAGAAGGTGTTGGATGAGGCGCGCGAGACACAAAATCGGGAACTCGATTTGGTGGACAAGGGCATTAGCTCCTTTGAGGAGTTGCCGGGATTGTGTAAGTGAATAAAACTAATAACAACAATAAATAATCAAAAGTGACTAACTGCCAAAATCAATTGTAAACAATAAACTACAATGAATGAACGTGAAAAAAAATACAATAACAGTGGGTGTGAAGAAAAAAATGGTGTTGCCATACCAAAACGGGTGAACATAACAAAAATAATAAATGACAATAAGTTCTAATAGTTTTCCAACTTTACCATGAAAGATGAGTGTTTCTTGATGATTTCCACAAAATTCTAATTGAAAATTATGAATATGATATTGTGTCAGCATGCAGATGACCTCATCTACTGTCTACATCTGTGAAGTAATCAATGTCCGTCCATCCCCGTCTGCAGCAATTCCATGGTGAATGAGTTTTCAACAACCCACACTAGAGTGGAACAATGCTCTTCAGTACATCTTAAATATTCTCCAGCATAGATATGTGTATTCAATGAACATTGCATTGTTTCTTGTATTTTGTAAACATTTGCATTATGTTAATCAATTGCTTTGGGAAAATTAGAAGTTAATTGTTTTTCTATGCTGTTGTTGTTGTATCATAACTTGTTGCTTGAGTTAATTTTATAATCTAACGTCATAAATACCAAAGGGGGAGAGCAAGGTAGATCTAACAGGTAACCGCATCGGCGAATTGCTACAACAAAGCAACTTTTGTGGTCCCCTCAAATGTCAAAATTGGCATCTAAGGCGAAAAACATAGATTCGCCATGACATTTAAAGGTTGCGGCAAATTTGTTTCAACCAATCAGAAACGAGGTGTTTGTTTACATTTTATTTTGTGTGCCTCTCGTCGTAAACGAACTTCGCAATAAAAGTTTTTATTGTAAAACAAATAAGAGTAGTATTGCGATATTTTTTAAACCAAGAAACTTATAATGACTATATTTTACTGGTTTAAACCGAAAGTTTTCCGGAACTGCAAATGACAAGAGTCGAATTCTTGCACCACTTCCCGTGATGTGCTTTGGGAATCTTAGATGTTGAGGCTAACTTAATTCTTAAAGCTGAACTCCATTCTATACTCCTTCCTTCATTTTCTTTTAATTATTTTTACTAGTTTCACTCTTAACTTGCTCTTAAATTATTTGAAATATTATAAAAATAGTTTTAGGGAAGACAACATAAACAAATTTGTTGTTGCATTCATTTAGGGCGAATTCTTCATTACAACAATTTGTTTTGACATTTAATGGTGCCGTCAGCTGGGCTGATGCGATTACCTAGTACATCTACCTTGGGGGAGAGAGAAGACTGTCAATTGGGCATATTTGCATTTGGTGTTGCCATACTCATGAAATATTCTCTAGATTTGGGGAAAATTGTTTGCAGCATAAAATACCCTGTATTATTAAAGTAAGAAGTTAAGGAAATTTGCTTCTGAAGGGTGATTTTTTGAAAGATATAGACAAGTTTTTCCAAATAAAATCCGGAAAAAAATCATGAAATCTTTCAGATGTATACCCTCAGCCAATGTCGGTTTATTAAAATAACTTTTGACTTGCGTTATGATTTTTAAAATACTGACCTTTAATGGGATGGTACTGAAGGAGTGTGCCAATATTTTCCATTTCATATCCGACCTAAGTCAGATATAAATATTACAACGTGCCAGATTTGGACTATATCGACTTTTTATAACCTCTACCACAGAAGGAAGGTATATTAAATTTGTCATTCTGTTTGAACACTTCGATATTTACATTTTAGACCCCACGAAGTATAAATATTCTTTATTAGCATAAAATTCTATATCGATTTAGCGATGTCCATCCGTCTATCCGTCCGTGGATATCACTCTAGCTTCCGAAGGAAATGAAGAAGGCTAATAAAATTTTACTCAAATGTATATTATGTCTGCAGGACTTTTGATATTGAAAATGGGTCATGTAGGTCCACGTTTTGGTATAGCCCCCATATAATGGTACCTCCCTATTTTCGGTATTTTGATAATTTTAGCGACTTTATTCAGCGCAATTGTTTCAAATTTGGTATTTGAAGTTCGTAATGAATACTACAGGCTATGACAGTAAATTGTCTGTTCAGGTCCACGTCTCCGTATAGCCCCTATATAATGGTACCTCCCTATTTTCGATATTTTGGTAATTTTAACGACATTATTCACCGGAAATGTTTCAAAATTGGTATTTGAAGTTCGTAATGGATACTACAGCCTATGACAGAAAATTGTCTGTGCAGGTCCACGTCTTCGTATAGCCCACATATAACGGTACCTCCCTATATTTGATATTTTCAAGATTTTAGCTACGTTATTCACCGGAATTATTTCAAATTTGGTGTTTGAAGTTCATAATGGATACTACAGTCTATGACAGAAAATTGTCTGTGCAGGTCCACGTCTTAGTATAGCCCCCACATATCGGTACCTCCCGATATTCTGTATTTTGATAGTTTTAGCGACGTTTTACACCAGAATTGTTTCAAATTTGGCCTTTGAAGCTCGTAATGGATACTACAGCCCATGACAGAAAATTGTCTGTGTAGGTCACGTCTTCGTATAGCCTCCATATAACGGTGCCTCCCGATATTCGGTATTTTGATGATTTTAGCGACATTATTTACCGGAATTGTTTCAAATTCTGTATTTGATATTCGTAATGGATACTAAAGCCTACGACAGAAAATTGTCTGTGCAGGTCCACGTCTTCGTATAGCCCACATAAAACGGTGCCTCCCTATATTTGATATTTTCAAGATTTTAGCTACGTTATTCACCGGAATTATTTCAAATTTGGTGTTTGAAGTTCATAATGGATACTACAGTCTATGACAGAAAATTGTCTGTGCAGGTCCACGTCTCCGTATAGCCCCCATATAAAGGTACCTCCCTGTATTCAATATTTTGATGATTTTAGCGACATTTTTCACCGGAATTGTTTCAAATTTGGTATTTGAATATTATAATGGCTTATGACAAATGTGGCCTATGCAGGTCCGCGTCGTTGTATGGACCCTTATATAAGGGCCACATTCTGTATTTTTTAGGTTTTAACAGAATTTTGAACGGATTTAATTAATTAATTAATTTTTTTTTTTTTTTTTTTGAAAATTGCCAAAATGCTAGGAGGTATTTAAAGTTCGACCCGGCCGAACTTGCAGCTTCTTTACTTGTTAAATGTGTAATGTTATAATCTTCAATAATCCATACATATCTTTCTTTGTTCCAGTTAATATGTCCAACATCACCCGACTGACCCTGAGCCACAATCGCATCAGCAACATCAATCCCGGTATTGCCAACCTCTTAAATTTGGAAATTTTAAATCTTTCCAATAATCAACTACGCGAATTACCCGTATCACTGTCTTCCATGCCCAAGCTGCGCATACTCAATGTGTCGATAAATCGTTTGGATAGCTTACCGCGTGGCTTTGGCGCCTTCCCGGTACTTGAAGTACTCGACTTATCCTACAATAATTTAAATGAAAAGGTATTGCCGGGAAATTTCTTCATGATGGAAACACTACGTGCCCTCTATTTGGGTGATAATGATTTCGAATATATACCCGAGGGTTTGGGAAATCTGAAAAATCTACAAATTTTGGGATTGCGTGACAATGATCTGTTGGAATTGCCACGAGAAATTGGCGAGCTGACACGTTTGCGTGAATTACACATCCAGCACAATCGTTTGCAATTCCTGCCGCCAGAGGTGGCCCAATTGGATTTGTTGGGCAGTAAGTCCGTGATGAAGATGGAAGAGAATCCCTGGGTCCAACCCATTGCTGAACAATATTTGTTGGGTATTAGCCATGTTATTGAGTATCTGAAAACCGAAACATATAAAATGTAAGTTGTTGTCGCTGTTGTCATTTGTAAAATTTTTAAATATTTTAATTTTTTTTCTTTCTTTGCAGCATTTATAACCGCCACATGATGGCTGGTCGTGGTGGTCCACCACCGCCAAAGGCAGATAAAAGCAAAAAAGCTTCTCGTGTTCGAGCCTAATTTGATGGGGATTGTTTTGCATCACATTATTTCGGCGAATAAGAGTGCCTTTGAATTTAAAATAAGTCATTTATGTGCTCGTGTGTGTTCTTTGTACTAATTTAAAAAGTTTGTATTTTTTTAACCGTAAATTAATTGATATTTGTATTTAAAATAAACATTTTTTAACCAAGTTATTTAATTTTGAAAGTAATTTTGAAACAGGACAGAATTAAATATTTTTTCTCAAGAATCATCCAACCAAAACGTGGATGTTTTAAACATTTTTTCTCAAGGATCACCCAACCGGTAAACCGTGGATTTTTTGAACATTTTTTCTCAAGGACCAACTGTTGAATAAACGTGGATTTTTAAAACAAATAAAGGGCGAAATAAAAGAACTGCAACAAAGTCTTTTTTTAAATTTTATTGAATGAAAGCCAAAAATATCGGAAATAGCATCAAATTTTGGCCTTTGGCCTTCAAACGGCCAATGAAACCGTCACACACTGCCCGAATGTTGCTCTGCGGTATTGTGGCCCATTCCCGGCGAAGCGCTTGCTTGAGTGATCGACACTTTGGTATTTTTAAGTGCAACCTTGCTTTCCAAAATACTCCAGACACAATAGTCCAACGGATTGGTATCCGAAGATTTTGATGGCCATTGTGCGATGGAAATTAGCGGGGAACCTCATTTTGTAACCATTCTTGGTTGGCACCCAGCACGCGATGGTGCTGAGTCCTGTTAGAATTTCCAAGGTCTGCGGCAAAAATGTTTGCATGCCCAAGGCTTTAATACACCCTCCAGAATATTTTCGCTATAATATTCGGCATTTATTCTGATGCCACAGTCGATAAATACGATCGGAGAGCGACCATCGGCTGTTATGGCGGCCCGCACCATCACCATGGCCGGCGCTTGAGTTTTGGTGGCCAACCGAAGGTGCATATTTTCAGCTGACCTCTTTGGCAAGTAAACATCCGATCATTTTGTTTGTTTACAAACTGCTGGACAACGAATGTTTTCTCATCGGAGACGGAGACAGCCAAATTCGGCAGTTTCCCACTTGCGACCAAATGAAGCAACTCTTTAGCTCTTTTAATCCTATTATTTCCTAACAGAACTTGAGTTAGTAAAAATGTTTGTATGCCTGAAATTTAAAAAGAGTTGGATGCGCATTTTGCTTTTTCTTAAGCGTTTTGTTTTTCAAAAATCTTAAACCCTATGTGAGGTAGGTACCAGAAGAAAAGGTCCGATCTCTACTATATTTATAACAGATCATGTGTTCTTTAAAATATTGAGACTTATGAAGTCTGAATGCAATCGTTTAATGAGCTATATGGTCACTCAGAATTTTGACCCTCTGTAGGGAGGTACCAGAAGGAGTAGACCAATATATTCCATCTTCACAGCGTTAGTATAAATAATGGGATGTGTGAAATATGAAGAAAACCGAAAGCTTATTTCAGATTTTATAATCGTTTTGGTTATTCAAAATGTTGACCCTTTGTGGGAGAGGTACCAGAAGGAATGGTCCGATCTCTACCATATTTATAACAGATCGTGTGTTCATGGAAACATTGAGATCTACCAAATCTGAATGGAATCGGATGTTAATTTCGTGTTTTATGAGCTTCATGAATATTCAAAATTTTGTTACCCTCTGTGGGGGAGGTATCAGAAGGAGTGATCCGATCTCTACCATTTTTATAACAGATCTTGTGTTGATGGAAATATTGGGATATACCAAATCTGAGTGGAAACGGATGTTAATTTCGTGTTTTATGAGCTTCATGAATATTCAAAATTTTGTTACCCGCTGTGGGGGAGGTACCAGAAGGAGTGGACCGATATAATCCATCTTCACACATCACATTGTATAAGAGTTATAATTATTAAAAATTTGACTCTTTGTGGGGGAGGTACTTGATGGAGTGGATCGATATTGGCAATTTTCGCACCCGACCTAGCACTGATGCAAATATTAGGATTCGCCAAGTTGGAGCAAAATCGAATTATCCTCTCTCTTTAAATTATTTTCTTTAAAAATTTTGACATTTTGTGTGGGAGATACCAGAAGGAGTGGACCGATATGGCCCATCTCTGAACTCGATCTAAGTTTGACAATAATATTACGATGTACCAAGTTTCGACCAAATCTGAAACTTCCTTCGAGAGTTATCGTGCGCACCAGCCAGACGGACGGACGAATTGACGGACGGACCGACGGAGTCGCTAGATCGACTCCAAATGTCCCGAAACGGATTTGGTCCAAAGAGACCTAGGGTCTAAAATCGTTATTTCGATGGGGCACGTTTTGGCCGTATCAAATGATATATACCCTATCTAGCCTTATGGCTGAGGGTATAAAAAACCAGAATAACCAATAAAGGAAGAAAGGGAGCAAAAGAAGAAACTGCTCTAAATTAGTAAAAACTTTAATCTTTTTACCCAGATTCTTTTTTAAAATCCCAAGAAGCCTAGAAAAAGGGAAAATAATAGTTGGCATTTGAACCTCTCCTATATAACTGAAATAAATCGGTTTGTACAAGTTAAAATACTCGTATCGCTGGATTTCGGAAAGATGTTGATACAAATAACCAAATAACTCCATTCTTGAAAACTTATTCCCCATAATGGACCCCTTCGAATCGGATCCAAAGAACCGATAATTTTCCTACATCGAAAAAAATACGCTTTTTTGACAGATGTTTCTTAACCGGAATATTAAGGTAAGTGGAATGGGATGAACTACCACGACGGTAACCTAAGACACAGATGGAAGCTAATTAGGACTGGTTCTTAGATCTCAAATGTAGTATCTAATGAAGAGCAGTTTCTGTACTAACCTTGATGAGATATCGACGTTTTAATTGTGAGGCAATAAACCAGCCTTCGTATATTCAACTTTTTCTTTACTTTATATGCCAAACAGTGTGAAAAAATCTTAAATTCTTTTCAAACCCTATCTACTTTGATAAACATTTTAAGAATTTTACATTTCCCAGCTCTGACTTTTCCCATCAATGTAAGTAACTGTGTTACCACATCATTTCAATTCAAACAAATGACACTTTGCTAGCAGAGTTGCCATTTTCCGAGATATCATAACAAAAAACACAAACAATTGATTTGTGTTGTGGAATGAACAGCAACAACAGAGGATAGAGTTTGATGGAGCTCTCCCAGCTACCCGGTACTGTCAATAACAATAAAGCCATTTAAATGTCATCTAATACGTCCAGAAGGTATTAATCATTGAGATTTATTTATTTCCTTGTATTTTTAACCAAAATTCAATGTTACAGAGTGGTCAAGGTAACCACAACGGAACAATTTGATTTGTTGAAATATGAAATGCTCCAAAAGCCAGAGGCTGCAGTAGGATATTGTCGTGGAGTGGATCGAGCCAAGGCCGATGCCCAGTGGAAGGAAATTGTGGAGAAATTAAATGCGCTGGGACCACCACACAAGACGATGTCCGAATGGAAAAAGGTAAGGTTGAATAATTGCATATTTCGAAAAAAATGGCCAAGGAAGAAATGGCTGTCTTGGAACATCACAGAAAAAATAATATTCCATTGTTTTTGTTGTAGTTGGTATACAACAACAACTATTTGTGGCCGTGTATGTAGTTGTCTTGTCTCCAGTCTGCTGCCTGACGACGATAACGATGATGTGCGTGTTTGTAAACCACATACCTTTTGTAGTCACGTTTCGCTCTGTGTCACGTCACGAAGTTTGCCCACAAATCGTGATAAAACACTCAAACATACATACACACAAAGACGTTGTTATGCATGATCTCAAATTTCGAAAAAAAATAACAAAGCACAAATGAAATTTATAATTAAAGTGGCGTGACAAGCTCGACGTAACGTGTGCGTTGCTATGTGTGACTGACTTGTCGTGTACAGTCACAAACAATTGGGAGTCACTTGAATGATGTTTAATTCAATAGCAATAGCCCTCGAAATGGATTTTGTTTCTGAAAACGATGAAATTCTAGCCTTAAGATATCTACGCCTAGGGAACGGCCCAGAGTCCAGAGAAAGATCTCACGCTCAAGGAACCGTTTGACATTGTACCAAGACCATTAGAAGATTCAAATGTGTGTTTAGAATCTTCAAGAGTTGATGAAATTGCCCAAGTTAAAAGTACAGGGTGAGATAAAAAAAACTGCAACAAAGTCAAACGCCATAATTTTTACATTTTTTTTTTAAATTTATTGAATGAAAGCCAAAAATGTCGAATATAGCATCAAATTGTAGAATAAGTTTAGATTTGTTCGAATTGGTCACCTTTCACACAAACTAGGGCCTTCAAAAGGCAAATTAAACCGTCACACGCTGCCCGAGTGTTGCTCAGCGGTATTTTCGCCCATTTCCGGCGAAGCGTTTGCTTGAGGTGATCGACATTTTGGTATTTTTAGTGCCTACCTTGCTTTCCAAAATACTCCAGACACAATAGTCCAACGGATTGGTATCTGGAAATTTTGGTGGCCATCATGCGCTGGAAATGAAGCGAGGGACCTCATTTTGTAACCATTCTTGGGTAACGCGTGCTGAGTGCAATTGTACTGAGTCCTGTTGGAATGTCCAAGGTCTGCTGCCAAAATGTTTGCGTGACCAATGGTTTAATACACCCTCCAGAATATTTTCGTTATTCGTTATTTATTCTGATACCACGGTCGATTAATACGAAAGGAGAGCGACCATCGGCTGTTATGGCGCCCACACCATCACCATGGCCGGCGCTTGATTTCTGGTGGCCAACCGAAGGTGCACATTTTTAGCTGACCTCTTTGGCAAGTAACAACGAATGTTTTCTCATCGAAGACGGAGAAAACCAAATTCGGCAGTTCACTTTCGTCCAAGCGAAGCAGCTCTTTTGAAACTATTTTCTGTCTGTTTCTGTTGCGGTGTAAGTTCTTGCAATTTTTGGGAATTTCAATGTCTTTACCCCGAGCTCATTTTTCAATATTTGCCGAATGGAATATTGCAATATATTCAGCTCACGAGCCATTTTGCGGCTACTGCTACGCGGGTTTGGATCGAGTCGCTTCTTTACTTTTCGAACCATTTCTGCTGATGTTGCTGTTTTCTTCCGTCCACTTACTTGACGTCGGCCTACACTACCAATATCACGGTAACAAGCGATTGTACGGGACACAAAAGATTTATTCACATTTAAATACTGCAGTGCTCTAACGTTAGCCACCTGTGGTTTTCCAGCCAAATAAAAATAAATCACACTTTCACGCTTGAGTTCATTCAAAAATAACTTTTTTCTGGAAAATTCTCACCAAAATGCTTTTGTACGCTTCTCAACAATATAAAGAGCTGTCACTGGAATAATTTTAACAGCTGTCGGACGAGTGGCTTAGAAATGGCAGCAGTCTGAAGTTGTTTTGCATTTTTTTCATCTCACCCTGTAATATTTAATTTCTTTCAAAAGTCCTCCATAGCAAGTAAAATAGTATCAGTCGGTTTTGCCGAAAGATGTATACCCCCAGCCTTGACTTATGATCATTCAAACTGTTGACTCTTTATGGGGAAGGTTCCGAAGCAGTTGGCCAATAATTGGCCAATTTGTATCTGACCTAAGACTGATATAAATATTGCGACGTGACAGTTTTGGACTATATCGACTACTTTCGGATGCTAATTTCGGATTTTACGATCTTTTGGTTATTAAAAACTTTGACACTTTGTGGGGGAGGTACCAGAAGGATTGGTCCGATCTCTACCATATTTATAACAAATCTTGTGTTGATGGAAATATTAAAATATATTTATTTCGCGATTTATGACCTTCATGGATACTTAAAATTTTGACCCTTTGTGGGTGAGGTAACAGAAGCATTAGGCCGATATGTTCCATCATCACACCAGACCTTGGGTTAATAAAAATATTGTAATGTGTGTAATTTGAAGAGAACCGGATGCTTATTTGGGATTTTATGATCGTTTTGGTTATTCAAAACTTTGACCCTTTGTGGGGGAGGTACCAGAAGGAATGGTCCGATCCCTACCATCTTTATAGCAGATCTTGTGTTAATAGTAGTATTGAGATGTACCAAGTCTGAATGAAATCGGGTGTTTTTTTTCGTATCTTATGAGCTTCATAGATATTCAAAATATTGACCCTTTGTGGGGGAGGTACTAGAAGGAGTGAACCGATATATCCCATCTTCACAGCATATCTTGTGTTAGGAGAAATAATACAATGTGTGAAATACGAAGAGGACTTGCATATTTTGCATATATGCATATTTTGGATTTCATGGTCGTTTTGGTTATTCGAAACTTTGGCCCTTTGAGGGGGTGATACCCGAAGGAATGGTCCGATCCCTACCATCTTTATAATACATCTTGTTTTGATGAAAATATTTAGATGTGCCAATTCTGAATGGAATCGGATGTTTATTACGTGTTTTATGAGCTTCATGAATATTCAAAATTTTGACTCTTTGTGGAGGAGGTACTGGATTTAGTAGACCGATATTGTCCATTTTCGCACCTGACTTAACACTGATGCAAATATAACTATTTGCAAAGTTGTAGCAAAATCGGATTATCCTTTCTCTTTCTGTGCAGTAAATTATTTTCTCTGAAAATGTTGACATTATGTGGAGGAGGTACCAGAAGGAGTGGACCGAAATTCCCCGTCTCCGAACTCAATCTAAGTTTTACAATGAACCAAGTTTGGATCAAATCGGATACTCCCTTTCGAGAGTTATTGTGCGCACCAGACAGACAGACGGACGCACATCGCTAGATCTACTCCAAATGTCCTGAAACGGATTTGGTCCAAAGAGACCTAGGGTCTAAAACCATTATTTCGATGAGGCACGTTTTGGCCGTATAAATTGATATATGCCCTCTCTAGCCATATGGCTGAGGGTATAAAAACACGGTTAGGTTAATATTAGAGGTTCCCTATAAGTCTTTTTTTTAAGGTTATTTTTAAATACGTGCTAAAGGAACTGTTTAACTTTTAGCTAAGTTTTCTGACAATTTCAGTTTGTAGGAACAACCTTTACAGACCTACTTGGGTCCTTGTAAAATTCCCCATATTGAAGGTATTGCTTGAATTACGGTGATAAATGCAGGTTTAATATTGGCTTATTCCCTTGTTTACTGGTTTATTTCTTTGCCTTTTATCTTCTGGAGTTCCTTTGTCAAGTCAATTTAAAGCAGATTTTCAATCTCTCGCAAGTTCCCTAAAAAGCTATATTCAAGTTCTTCTGTGATTCGCCGATAAATTCTCTTGCAAGAAATTCCATTTCCAACAACGAAATATATTTCATATTTTCCCTCTCCCATTACAGGTATGGTCAGATGTGCGTTTGCGATTGAAAAAACGAATTGGGGCGAAAGTCCGGAGGCGACGTAAAACAAAAACAAAAGAGTCTGAATCAGATGAAGATTTCATCAACAACTCAATGCAAAATTCTCAATCTGTTTATGCCGTCTCTCAGTCTATGTCGAGCAATGAAAATCATTTAAATGATCATTACGAAATAACAGAAGTCGAACTACCACCAAGTTATGATGAACAAACATATGAAAATGGAAATTGTGAAGAAACTCAGCTGCAGCAGCCCGAAATAAATACGGAAACATGCGGTAGACACATACGAAGTTGGACACATAAAAAGAAAACCACAGATAGACAATTTCGTTTGTTACATTTAGAAATGGCACGACATCCATCGGCTGCCGGAGGTTACAATGCTGGGGTGGACCGTCAACAAGCCGATGAAGAATGGAAAGAGATTGTGGAAAAACTCAATGCCATTGGACCACCATATCGTTCAATCTCCGAATGGAAGAAGGTATAATAAAAAAACAAGTTTTGTTGGATGACATGTTTTTCCATTTTCTTTATATTTATTATAGGTATGGTCAGATGCTCGCTTACGCCTCAAGAAACGTATGTGTAAAAATTCCAAAACCCTTGGCTATTTTAATGTTGAGTCCGGAACTGATGATGATTTGGTAGGGGAAACCCTCAACAACTCTATATATTCGATAAGTTCTTATGATGATTATGATGGCGAAGAACCTAACCCAGCTAGTTTTGTAAATGTCTGTCAGGAATCGGTCTACAATTGTGAGGCAAATCATCATTCACCTGCCCAACCCAAAAACCAAAGCATCGATGAGGAGGCATACTGTGAAACAAAAGACAATAAAAATCACTTACATTCCATCTTAAACATTCCAAATCATATACAGGACACACAAGATAATCCTAACGCCTCCGAGAGTAGTCCATTTACATTACAGTATCAAATGCAGCAGAATAATATGCTAATGCAGCATTTAATTGGAATCTCCACTACCTTGACAAATTTGCTGGAGCGTCATGTTACGGCTACGGAAAAAATGACACAGATTATGGAAAGGCAAAGTAGAAGAAAGGATTTCAACGGGTTTATGCAAAGGCGGCGAGAAAATCGCACAAAGGCACGCATGAAAAAATTCTATGAATTTTTCTGATGTCTCTTGTGTTTGGGATTACGTTATTCAATTATTGTATGTCTTTTTTGTTAAAGGTATTATGTAAATGTATTATTTAGTTGTATTTTATATCAAGTTGTATTAATCTTTAAGGATTCAATGTTTACCATCTGGTTTGGTTACACCACCTCTGTGAGGTTAAACCATGAGCAATTTTAAACATTTTAATTTAAAACTTATATATTAAGAATGTATATTATGTGCAATTTCTTGAAAGATGTTAAGTTACAAATTAAGAAGTAATAAATAAAATCTATAGTTGTAAATTTTAATTCGAAATAATTCCTATGACTACCATAATAAAAGGTTGTTTTTAATAAATCTTTTACAAATATAATTATTTTGTCTTAAACTCCAATGCCAAGATGCGATAAATCTATTTTTAAATAATGGTTTGAATTCATACTAAGTTCATCATGATAAAACCGACTCTAAAGAATTTGTTTGGATTCCTGAATAGAGTATTTGGATTATGGTAAAGCTCATTGAAGCTTCATTCCTCTACACATGGTTCCGTTGACTTAAGGTGAGAAGTTGGTTGTTTAGTTCCATTTTGGCCCATAATTTTACTTGCTTTCCCTACGTTCCTCTGTTCTTTTACGAAAAAGCCTGTTCTTGATTTAAGCCAGTCAAAAAAATATTTTATGTATTCTCACCTTTAGATCAGTCAAAAAATCGTTTTATGTACTCTCACCTTTAAGATAGAACATATTCTGTTCTGGCTTAAAGGTGAAAATACATAAAACACTTATTTGACTGGCTTCTTCGTAAAAGAACAAAGGAACGTAGGGAAAGCAAGTAAAATTATGGGCCAAAATGGAACTAAACAACCAACTTCAGACTGCTGTCATTTCCAAGCCACTCGTCCGACAGCTGTCAAAATTATTCCAGTGACAGCTCATTCTATTGTTTACAAGCGTACAAAAGCATTTTGATGAGAATTTTCCAGAAAAAAAAATTCTTCGTGATGGAATTTAAGCGTGATAGTGTGATATATTTATATTTGACTGGAAAACCACAAGAGAGAGCACTCTATCATTTAAGTCTTAAAATAAATATTTTGTGTCTCGTACCATCGCTCGTTAGCGTGATACTTTTAGCGTAGCCTCCGGTCAAGGAAGCGAATGGAAGAAAACAGCAACATCAGCAGAAATGGTTCGAAATGTATAGAAGCGACTTCATCCAAACCCGAGTCGCAGTGGCCGAAAAATGGCTCGTGAGCTGAACATATCGCAATATTCCATTCGGCAAATATTGGAATATTAGCTCGGGGTAAAGCTATTGAAATTCCAAAAAGTGTAAGAATTTACACGGCAACAGAAAGAAAATAGACTCAAAAGAGCTTAAGAGTAGCTTTGCTTGGGCGAAAGTTGTGAACTGCCGAATTTGGTTTTCTCCGATGAGAAAACATTCGTGGTCCAACAGTTTGTAAACAAACAAAATGATCGTGCATACTTGCCAAAGAGGTCAGCTGAAAATGTGCACCTTCGGTTGGCTACTAGAACTCAAGCGCAGGTCATGGTGATGGTGTGGGCCGCCATAACAGCTGGTGGTCGCTCTCCGCTCGTATGGAGGGTGTATTAAAGCCTTGGGCACGCAAACATTTTGGCCGCAGACCTTAGACATTCCAATCAGCACGCGCCACCCAAGAATGGTTACAAAATGAGGTCCCTCGCTTCATTTCCAGCGCACCAAAATCTGCGGATACCAATCCGTTGGACTATTGTGTCTGGGCAATTTTTTATAAAGCAAGGTTGGCACTAAAAAATACCAAAGTGTCGATCAGCTCAAGCAAGCGCTTCGCCGGGAGTAGGCCAAAATGCTACAGAGCAATATTCGGGCAGCGTGTGACAGTTTCATCGGCCGTTTGAAAGCCAAATTTCATACCAAAGGTGACCAATTCGAACAAATCTAACCTTATTCTAAAATTTGATGCTACTTCCGACATTTTTTGCTTTCATTCAATAAAATTTAAAAAAATTGAATAATTTTGTCATTGACTTTGTTGCAATTTTTTTATCTCACCCTGTACATATATAAATCTGAACCAATCTCGAAACAATTCGGCAGAGGTATTTTCGAGCCGTATCTAATGCCCAGTATCAAAAATATCATTGTTATGGAGTGCATGTAAGGGTCTTGAATACCCAAATCGGATGAAAGATATATATGGGAGCCATAGCTATATCTGAACCGATTTTCACCAAATTGACGTACTTGCTTCTAGACAGAATTCGTTCGGATGTGTCAAAATTCAGGTCATTTGGACTGATATTGGTCATTCGGTGCACAATTAACCCGAAATCGTTTGAAGATATATGGGAGCAATATCTAAATCTGATCCGTAATCACAAATTCCAATAGGTTCACAAGAATACATGAACAGTCGGACTGACATGCATAAACCGACTCAGAAAGTGCTTCTATGAAGATCCCGAAAGAGAACAATGGGTCTATCTCACTTTCTTCTCTATGTTACAAACAAATGCACAAAGACATAATACCCTTACCACTATGTGGTGTAGGGTATAAAAGGTAGTTAATTTCGGTCGGGCCGAACTTTTAATATCATCCACCATTTAAAAGGGACTTAAAAATGTCAAATCCAAATTCCAAAATGTCAAATCAAATTCCGAAAAATACCGTTTAAATGATCAGCTTTAAACGGGGGTTATACGAAGAGGCAGACCTGCATATACAATTTCCTGTCATAGACTGCGGTAACCATAACGGACTTCAAATACTCAAATAATTTGGAACAATTCCGGTATATAATGTCGCTAAAATCATTAAAATACCGAATATAGTAATTCGCCGTTATATAAGGGTCTATACGAAGACGTTGACTTGCATTACAAGCTTTTGTCATAGGCCATTACATATGTATGCTGTAGTAACTATTAAGAACTTCAAACACAAAATTTGAAACAATTCCGGTGAGTGTTGTTCTAAAATCATCGAAATACCGAATATAGGGAGGAACCGATATATGGTGGCTATACGAAGACCTGGACCTGCATAGACAATTTTCTATAATAGACTGTAGTACCCATAACAAACTTCAAATACGAAATTTAGAACAATTCCGGTGGATTATGTCGCTAAACTCATCCAAAAACCGAATATAGGGAGGTACCGTTATATGGGGGCTATACGAAGACGTTGGCCCGCATGCGCAGTTTTTTTGTCGTAGGTTGTAGTACCGATTAGGAACTCTTAATACAAAATATGAAACAATTCCAGTGAATAATGTCGTGAAATACGAAATATCAGGGTAGCCTTATATGGGTGCTATACCAAAACGTAGACCTATATAAACAATTCTCTTCCAGGGGGTAAAGTACTCTGAGGGAATTCCCTGTGTGGATTTTCATACTATTCCATTGAAAAATTTGGCCAAAATCATCACATCATAATATCGAATATTGGGGGCACCATTGTATGGAGGCTAAACGATACCGTGAACCTATATACAAAATTCTTGTCAGGGGGTAAGGTATTCACAAAGAATTCCTTGTGTACAATTTCAGACAATGTCATTGAAAAATGTGGCTAAAATCATCAAAAAACCGAATATCGGAAGGTACAGTTATATGGGGGATATACGATATCGTGAACCTATATACAAAAATTCTCTTTCAGGGGGTAAAGTACTCACAGAGAACTCATTGTGTAGAATTTCAGACAATTCAATATCGGGGCAATACGATGTCGTGGACCGATATAGCCCATCTTCGAACTTGACCTCCCTACAGACAAAAGACAATCCCACGGCAGCGGGTTCTACGACACCGGATTGACCCGAAACAACAACACTTCAGTTTCGGCCAGCGGCTGCCAACCCAGTGTATACATGTTCGTGTTTGTTTATTTTTCTGTTTTGGGAGCAGCACATCCCGGAATGCTTGCTCCGGATTCTTTTGGTCCGTGCCGGGCTTGAGGAAAACCCCGGACCATGGTTCTGTACGGTTTGCCAAAACACCATCCACCATAGATCAGTCTCGGTGCGATGTAATGGATGCAGAGGATGGGTGCATTTTAGAAATTGTTCCGGTTTAACCCGGTTGCGAGACTATAGCGATAGGGACTATGTTGCTTCGTGCTGCACCAACGTAGTCCCCAGTGAGTCCACGACCTCGTCGTCTACTTCCGAGTCGTCGTCGGAGTATGGAACTCCCCCGCAGTCTCCAGAACAGCAACCTTTACCGCAGCACTTAACGCCACATGTTGCTGTTCCGATTCCGGACAATTCATCGTTCTTGCAGTTCAATTGCAACGGACTCCGAGGTAAAATTGATGAGATAGTGGATTTTATGAATCGGAGGAATATCAAGATCGCAGCGGTGCAGGAAACCAAGCTCAATGAAAATTGTAGCTTACAACGTTGCAATGGTTACAACGTATTGAGGAAAGATCGCACCAGAAGTGGAGGTGGGGGATTAGCGTTCCTGATACACCATTCTGTTCAATACAGACCTATCTCGCTTGAGCTAGTCTCTAGTGACCCGTACATGGAGTGTATGGAGGTAGCAGTCAAGTGTGGTACTGCCGAGGTAGAGGTGCTTAATGTGTATATCCCGCCGGTTAATAGGTGTGAACCGCGTTACTTGCCTAATATAAGCTCACTTTTGGAAGGCAATAACCGCCTGGTACTAGGGGACTTCAATGCCCACCATGAGTTGTGGCATTCCGTCCTAGGTAATGACCAGAGGGGATCAGCGTTGGCAGAGCAGATTGACTGCTCCACATTTTGCACGGTAAACGAGGATGCCCCCACCCGAATAAGAGGAGAGTGTCACAGTTCGCCAGACTTAACCATCGTGTCACCCGGTCTGATAAATGACGTGACTTGGCAACCCGTCATTTCTCTTGGCTCAGACCATCTCCCGATAATCGTCTCCATCAGCAGATCTCCCGATTTCATAACCTCTGAACGCCGCACTTTCCTTAACCATGGGAAAGCCCACTGGCCCGAGTTCAGAGAGTTCACCAACCTTCGCTTCAGAGAACTGCCCAATCCTTCTGATGTTCGGGTAGCTGAAAGGACTTTCCGGGACATCATCAAAGCTGCAGCCGCTCGCTATATACCTGCTGGTCGAATACCCGAAGTAAGACCAAATTTCCCAGCAGAGGCAGCGGGATTAGCGAATGAGCGTGATGAGCTCCGACGTACCAACCCTACTGATCCCAGAGTCAGTGATCTGACAGTGGAAGTCAACCGGTTGGTACAGGAGCATAAGCGGAAAAAGTGGCTAGACCATCTGAAGTGTTGCAACATCGGAACCGATTTGAGTAAACTGTGGGTAACGGTAAAGTCACTCTCGAACCCTGGGAAAAAGGATGATAGGACAGCAGTCACATTTAACGACGTAACTGTGACTGATCCGAAGAGGTGCGCTGGCTGTTTTAACCGCCAATTTGTCGAGCACCCCGACAGTGATAGGGCGAGGCGAAGAGTACTACGTCGTATAAGAGCTCTTCCCGCCGAGGATGTACCTCCACAGTTTACGATGGGTGATGTTGCGAATGTCATCCGAAACGCTAAGTCATCTAAAGAGTTGGGCCCGGACGGAATATCAATGGTAATGTTGAAGCAACTGGATACGCCGGGAGTTGAGTATTTAACCAAAGTCCTTAATTTGTCGTTAGCCACCCACATAGTTCCCGAAGCCTGGAAAATGGGCAGGGTGGTCCCGCTACTGAAGCCTGGCAAGGATGCCAGCAAAGGCGAATCATACAGGCCAATTTCGCTTTTGTCGCCAGTAGCAAAGACTCTCGAGGCCTTACTCCTCCCCAGTATCAGAGGAAGCTATTCAGTTGCTAACCATCAACACGGTTTCCGTCCACTACATAGCACTACAACAGCATTGCACGCCATATCCACACATATCAGTCGAGGACTCAACCAGAACAGGCTGTGCCACAGAACAGTAGTGATGGCTCTCGACCTATCAAAGGCCTTTGATACGGTCAACCATGCCACGCTGTTCGAGGACGTTGAGAACACTACCCTCCGGCCAAGTTTGAAACGTTGGATAGTCAACTATATGTGTGGACGCCAGTCGTACGTGGAATTCCGGAATAAGAAGTCCAAGCCTCGTAGAGTGAAACAGGGAGTTCCCCAAGGTGGGGTGATATCTCCGGAACTGTTTAACCTCTACCTTTCCGGAATTCCGCGCCCTCCAGACGGCATCGAGATCGTAACTTATGCAGATGATTGTACGATCATGGCGTCGGGTCCTGTAGTTGATGACATATGTGTCAGGGTGAATAATTATCTCGCGGAGCTTGCCGCCTTCTTCCACGCGAGGAATATGAAAATATCCGCCACTAAATCGACGGCCACACTATTTACCACATGGACTGCGGAGATGAGAACACAGCTGAATGTGCAGGTCGAGGGGCATATAATTCCGACCACCAACTACCCCAAAATTCTTGGGGTCACATTCGATAGCATGTTCAAGTCTTCCGCGCAAGCCACAGCTATTTGCGATAAAATGAAAAGTAGGAACAAGGTCCTCAAGGCGCTAGCCGGCAGCACTTGAGGTGCGGATAAGGAAACCTTGTTGACCTCTTATAAAGCGATAGGTCGGTCTGTGGTTAGCTATGCGGCTCCAGTGTGGTCGGCGAATACAAGTGCAACGCAGTGGAAATGTATTCAGACCTGCCAGAATGCCGCCCTGAGATCTGCAACAGGGTGCCTCCTGATGACGCCTGTGGACCACTTACATGAGGAGACGAAGGTTCTTCCCTTACGTCAGCATAATCATATGCTTTCGTTGCAGTACCTGCTTGGGTGTTATCGCGGGAGTCACCCTAACCACCATATGGTGGATAGAACTCCCCCACCCAGGCGTGTCAGGAAGGACCTGCACGATCTAGAGAGAGAGGTCCAGCGATATAAGAGAGAGCCTCTAGATCATGAAGCCTATCAAGCAGGTCTGAATAGCATTCATACTGATGCAGTCGCAGAGGTAGTCAATAATTACAGTATGAATGCCATACTCGGAGTCCACCCCCCATCCATTGCAGCTGAAGAACGTCGGCTGCCTAGGCAAACCAGGGTAGTTTTGGCCCAACTACGTTCAGGATGGTGCAGCCGTCTCAATTCGTATTGGGCACGAATTGATGAGGATGTGCGGAACGCCTGCCCAGCGTGCGATACAGGCCCGCACAACACGCTGCATTTGTTTAATTGTCCTGCCAAGCCTAACCAACTCCGTCCAGAGGATCTATGGCTACAGCCCATAAAGGTAGCAGAATTCCTAAACCTGGACATTGAGGAAGAACCGGATTAGTCGAAAAAAAAACAACAGAACGTGTTAAACTGCTACAACAACAACAACAACAGACAAAAGACGGATCTGTACAAATTTTTAGCTTCCTATCTTAATTAGCTTCGACTCCAGCGTGATTAAAACAGACGGACGTATGTACAGGGCTTAATTGCCTTAGAATTTTACGCTGATCAAGAATATATATACTTTGTTAGGTCTAAAATTATTATTTCGATGAGTTACAAACTTAATGACGAACTTAATATATGCGGTGGAGGGTATAAAAACGATTTGCATTTGTTATTGGTAAATTTGAAGTTACAAGACTCTTGCTTCGAAGTTGGGTTTTGCAGATTAAATCATTGGCCCTTCCAAGTAATTATAAATTTAAATAAAGATTTCTTGCATTTTAATAATTTACATTTTAAAAAAATACTGAGATTTTCGTCAAAATTTTGAATTTCAAAAGTAAAATTTCCAAGTTATTATCGCTTTCCGCCTCAATTGTGTTTCCAGTGAATATCAAAACAAGTGACGGCATGGCAACCCCCTTTTGTTTTAAATCTGACAACTGCTGAGAGAGAAGAAACAACAAAACAACAACAATATGTAAACAAAGTGAATTGGTGAATTGTGGCCGATGTCGCCTTTCTCTGTGTTTATACGCAGATCGATCGCCAATTGGGGAGCTTTCATTCTTTTTTGTTTATTGCAAATATAATATTTTTCAAATATAAACTTCATGTTAATAAAATTGTTTACTTCTAACGTGCAAAGATGAACCGCAAAACGTAAGTATATGAAAGATCTTCCATATGTGTATTATATTTTATTTTTCCTTGGCTCAAAGCTCTACTTTTGTTCCATTTAGCAAAGGTGTGAAATGATTCACGACGTATGCAATTTTGGTTTTGCTTGATCTTCGACTTGCGACATAAACTTGCGAATTTTATGGGGTTTTTGATTCAATTACCATCGGAGAACAAAGTACATGAGACTGGGCAATGGATATTTATGATATCAAAATGTAGTTATTTGGCGGTTAATTTAAATTGTATAAGTGGAATATTAATTAATATCCGGACTTGGGAATTTTCAAAAAAAAAAAAAAAAATAATAATAAAAGCAGAAAACAGACATAATTTGGGGATTTGCGATCGTATATGTAAATTTTATCTGTATTGAGAACACAAATGTTATTAGCCACCAACTGATACATGTATGGACGTGAGTGCCGATATCGCCAATTTAATGGAAAATAAATTTTTTTGAAAATATTTCGGACAAAATTTGGAACAACTCTTCTTCAGTAAAAGCTACGAACTTTCTTTGAAAAAAATTCCAGGGTATTTGTACCCTGATGTTTTTGTGCATTTGTTTTGTAACATGGAGAAGAAGCGAGATAGATCCATAGTTACTTTGAGAATCTTCATAGAATAAGTTTCTGAGTCGATTTATGCATCAGTCCGTCCGTCCCTGTATTTTTGTGAACAAAATTAAGGTCACATTTATTATCCGATTGATATGAAATTTTCCAAACAATATTTGGGAGCTATGTCCCATATATATCTTTTTCCGATTCCATGTTTATTGTGCACCAAATGGCCCAAATTGACTGAATTTTGGCAATTAAGACTAAATTCTTCCTAGAAACCAGTACTTCAAATGTTGGTGTAAATCGGTTCAGATATAGCTATAGCTCCCATATGTATGTTTCATCCGATTTGGGGTTTAAAGTCCCTCACAAGCGTAATATGCATTCCACAACAATGATCTTTGGTACCAGATATCAGATACAGCTCTGAAATAAGAGCATTAAATTTTGTCAAGATCGGTTCGGATTTGGATATAGCGCCCATATACATCTTCTGCCGATTTCGGGTTAATTGTGCACCAAATAGCCAATATCAGTTCATACGACCTGAATTTTGGCATATCCGACCGAATCCAGTCTAGAAGCAAGTACATCGAATTCGGAGAAAATCGGTTCAGATATAGCTATGGCTCCCATATATATGTTTCATTTGATTTGGTGTTTAAGTACCTCACATTCGTAATATGCATTCGACAACTATGAAATCTGGTATCAGATATCTTATAGAGATCGGAAATACCTCTGCCAAATTTTATCAAGATCGGTTCAGATTTGGATATATCTCCCATATATTTTCTCAACCGATTTCGGGTTAATTGAGCACCAAATAGCCAATATCAGTCCAAATTTCCTGAATTTTGGTACATTCGACCGAATTCAGTCTAGAAGCAAGTATATCGAATTCGGAGAAAATCGGTTCAGAAATAGCTATAACTCCCATATATATGTTTCATCCGATTTGGTGTTTAAGTCCCTCACATTCGTAATATGTATTCAAAAACAATGATATTTGATACCAGATATCCTATAGAGCTCGGAAATACCTTAACCATATTGTATCGAGAATGGGTAAGATTTGGATATAGCTCTCATATATATCCTTAATCCAATTTCAGGTTTATTGTGTAAATAATGGCTAATTATGGTTGTCCATATTAGTTAAGTAGGTCCGGATCTTGGACCCGGACTTTCGGGTCAAATATCTTGTCAGCTAGCTCCGTCCCCCAAGTAAAAACTACTTTCCCGGAATCAGTGTTCAAATACTTAACTCTGGAAAAAATGTCAAAAAAAAAAAAAAAAATCCGGGAGTTTTTACCTAACTAGAGTTAAGCCGCTCAAACCAGTAGAGTTGGGTAAAGGTCGACTGTATGATACCCTACCATTTATACGTTTATAAAGGTTGATTTTTTAAAAGCTATAGAAAAGTTTTTCTCAAAAAAAATTTAATTGTTTCTTTTAAACTTCATTCCCTTAGGTCTCGTGGCACGTCCTACAAAAAGACCACCAATCGGCAATACAGCGTGTTGATACGTGAAATTGGTAAACATCTGGCCAGTGCGCCAAAAAGCAAAGGTGACCATTATCTCTTCTGGTGTGAACTGCGGGACAAATTAAATTGCCTAGGACCTCCAACACGCACCATAACCGAATGGAAAAAGGCAAGTAAAATAAATAATTTGTGTTACAAAAAACCTAAAACTTCCTTTGATTCCCTAAAATTTCAGGTATGGAATGACTGTCAACGTAGTCGCAAGCGACGTGAATTATTGCGCGAAACACTACGTAAAACAAAAGTGGAGCCCATAGAAGTGCGAGATGAGCCAATATATGATGATCGAGGAGAAGCTATAGATATGTACAATGATTTCCACGAGGTAGAAAAGGAGGAGTTAGAAACTGACAACATGTATACCAATGAGTGTTCACAAAGTTCTCAGGATATGCCGCATAATTTTGATGATTCCGTTTCATCGTTTATTATATCTGAAGCAAATGATAGCAGCTTTGAACAGCCCGTCATACAGAGGCCACTACCACCACTATATAGATGTCCTTCTACCGTATCCACACCATCACCCGCGGCGCCCCCACCACCACCTCCACCACTACCACAAATATCTCATGTATATCCGATTGCCACATCTACTGCCTTTAATCATTTTGTTGTGAACACAACACCCAAGACAAATGACCCGAATGTTGCCAATTCGTCTCCGGCTGCCGGTGTCTCCTTATCGTCGTCATTCAATCAAGATATTTTCCAAGTACTTAAAAATCAAATGATACATCAAACAAAATTGCTCGAACATATGTCAAGGGTATCCAATAATATGGCCCAGTTGATGGAACGCCAGGTAACAGCCATTGAAAAACAAACGGAGGCTGTGCGCCGCCAGGCAATTGCTATGGAACATCATACATTGGTTATGAATTCCTTCGTTGATATGATACGTGATAAAATGCCCAAAACGAATAGTAATAATAGAACGGCGAATTCAGGGCACAATGGTAAATCGTGAGGTTGTTGGAATAGGACGTCAGGGACATTAAGTTGATCTTATGTCCCAATTTACGATTTCGAAACTATGCTTTAAAGAGTTCCTTGTAGGATTTTGTATTATATTTCATTGATGTATTTAATTTAAATGTTTTTTTCTAATTTAAGGATTTTCTTTTAGACATTACATTTCAAGAATGTAGTATTCAGTTACTTTTGAAATACTTTTTGCATCCAATATTCTCTTGCAGCTTAAAGTTAAAATGGAATTTAGATATTCATTTAAGAATCTCAATTTCAAACATTTTGTAGTTTTATTCTCAATTGAGTTTCAAAACCACATTTTTATTTCAAATCTCTACATCGCTATATGCCATTAAATGGTAACATTTTCGAATTTCTCATCGTATTAGTTATTAGTTAGCTATGTCATATATCTCACAATTTTATATATAGTTAACCATCAGATGTAGATATTATCCATTCCAGTTACAGTTACTGTACTTATTATTAAACTAGTTTTAAGATATTTTGTTTTTGGTGGAGACTATTCACGGATGATAAATAAAAATATTCTTAAAAAGACAATGGAGAAATGACATGTTTGTGCTGAACTTATGGAAACGATACCGTTATTGCCTACCAGCATTTCTCGTAATGGCATTTCTTTGTCAACCTGCATTGAAAAATAAATTACAGGTAATTTATAGAGTTGCAAACGGTTTCCTTTTTGTATTGATGAAAGTACAGACATACAGGATACAAGTCAACTATTAATTTGTGTGCGATCTGTTGACACTATTTACAATATATTTGAAAGTATGTTTACATTAGTTTGAATAAATTCAAATATAGCAGGCAAATTAATATATAAGGCAGTACGTGAATAACCACCGATGGCGCCAATGTAATGTGTGGAAGACATGGTGGATTAATAGGCAAATTGAATAAGCATGGTTTTCAGTTTGAAAAATTTCATGGCTTTACACATCAGCTACCTTTGGTTTTAAAATTCCTCACGAACCATCCAGGAGTGAAAGTTGCCGAAAAAATAATTAATAGAATTCCTGGCGGACATAACTCGCTTAATCATCGAAAATTCGTTCAATTTTAAAAAAGTAAAGGAACATAACTCTTTGATTTAAAATTATTCACAGAAATCGTCAGGCTTAATCCCATTATTGTTGTTTTTATAAAACAACATTTGTTTATTAGTGGAGAACGATGGAAATGTTTACCAGGGAGTAAGGCAGGAAATACCTAGGTTTCGGAAAGAGCCACCAATCCTCATCAGTTCCCTTGTGTTTTGTCTGGGATATTCTCCCCAGAAGTTATTTTAAAATAACTCCTATGACAAAAAACTTTTTTACCCAAGTGACGAGATCGTAAGCTCAATAGAAGAGGAACCAAAGAATTATATAAAACTACAATTCTTTTGGAAAATCTTCTAAATCTTACAACCGCACTTATAAACATTTACATCTTTCTCCACTTGTTATGCTTTCGTTTTACCTCAACGAAGTTTTCCAAAGACAGCAGAATTGTATAGTGACTTTCATTCTAGTAAAATAGATGAATATATTTCAATTATTAGCGAACTTCAGAGCCATATGCAAGAAAGTTTTAAGGATTTTAAGGCAGTGCAACCTTTATTGGAAATATATGACAGCCCTTTTACGTGCGACGTTTCACAGTACCTTTTTGAGGTTCAATAAGAACTAATTATCCTTAGAAGGGAAATGGAAGCAGCGGATATTGTAGAATATATCAACTTTTGGAAATGTATTGACCGTTCCGAATATCCTTGCGTTTAGAATATTTCCTACAAGTGTGCCGGATTTTTCCAATCAACATATTTATGCGAACAAATATTCAGTGATTCAAAATATCTTTGTTCGAAACAAAGAAATAGATTAAATGTGATATACTTAAATAGTATTATGCTTATCCGCAATCGCAATAATAATATTGACGAACGTTTAATACCCTCCACCATTTGGAGCGCATTTGGAAATTTAAAAAAAAAAAAAAAATAATAAATAAATAAATAATAATAAAATTCGTTAAAAATTCTGTCAAAATCTTAAAAATACCGAATATAGCCGTTATATTGGGTTCTATACGAAGACGTGAACCTGTATAGACAACTTGTGTCGTAAACCAATACAATATTCAAATACGAAACTTGAAAAAAAAGTCCGGTGCATAATGTTACTAAAATCAGGAAAATATTGATTTTCGGGAGGTACCGTTACGAAAACTTGGAACTGCATACGAATTTTTGTCATAGGCTGTAGTACTTATTAGGAACTCCAAATACAAAATTTCAAACAGTTTCGGTAAATACTGTACTTAAAATCGTCAAAATACCGAATATAGGGAGGTACTGATATATATGGCCTATACGAAGACCTGGACTTGTATAAATAATTTTTTGTCGTAGACTGTAGTTCCCATTACGAACTTAAAATACGAAATTTGAAACAATTCTCTAAAATCATCAAAAAAAAAAAGAATATCGGGAGGTACAGTTATATGAGGGCTATACGAAGACGTGGACCTTCACATATAATTTTCTGTCATTGGCTGTAATATCTATTACGAACTTCAAATACCACATTTGAAACAATTCCGTTGAATAATGTCTCTTAAATCACCAAAATACCGAAAATAGGGGGATACCGATATATGGGGGCTATACGAAGACGTAGACCTGCACAGACAGTTTTTTGAATCATAGGCAGTAGCATCCATTACGAATTTTAAATACAAAATTTGAGACAATTCCGGTGAATGAATTCGCTAAAATCATCAAAACACGGAATATCGGGAGGTGCCGTTATATGGGGGCTATACGAAGACTGTAGTATCTATTACGAACTTCAAATACAAAATTTGAGACAATTCCGGTGAATAATGCCGCTAAAATCATCAAAATACCGAATATCGGGAGGTACCGTTATATGGGGGCTATACCAAAACGTGGACCCACATAGCCCATTTTCAATACCAAAAGTTCTGCAGACATAACATACATTTGAGCAAAATTTTATCATTCTACTTCAATTCGTTTGGAAGCTAGAGTGATTTCCACAGGCGGATAGATCGACATAGAATTTTATGCTGATCAAGAATATATATACTTTGTGGGGTCTAAAATGTGTATTTCGAGGTGTTACAAACGGAATGACAAAATTAATATACCCTCCATACTATGGTGGTGGGTATAAAATTCCATGGCCATGTCTTGTATGATTTGTCCAACAAATTGGACGACATATATCACCTTCACATTTTTCGTAAAACCTTTCCACCCTCTCATTGGGGGTGGATTTCCGTTGACACATTTCACGTTATCCAACCCTGACTCCACATGCCTGCATACAAACACTCATTTCGGTTGGTATACCCCCTTTATCTCCTGCCATAGATAGAAAATTTGCAAAAAACCCCCCGATCTGGACTTGCGCACTCGCTGCCCTTTTCTAATTCCTTCTCTTCATAATAGAATTTTGTGTTATTTGGTTGTTTTTCATTTAAATTTTTAGTGAAAAATAAAGGAAAAACATTTTCCAAAATAAATAGCAGACCACACGTGTGGACCACAGAGTTGAGGCTATAGGATTTCGGTGAAATTTTATTGTGAAACCACTTTTGGTCAGCCGTATGAAGAGAAAATTGTTTCGCGCCCGTAACCAAGAAAAAGAAGAAAAAAAAAGACGTTTACAAGGCTTTTTTTCGCCCCAAAGCCTTTGTTCACTGCAGCAGTAGTCAGTCGGTCAGCAAGTCAGTGAATAGAAGAAAAATCGGTTAAAAGATAACTTTCCAGCCAATAAACTATTGCTGCTGCTACTGCTGCCTGCCAAGCAACCCAACGACCAGCCAGCCTGACTGTGTGTGTCCACCAAGAACAGGAAACTCCTTGGAAAAAAATCCGAAAAGAAATATCATCAAAGTAACCATCGTCGTCTCTAGAGAATAAAGAAAAATGTCGGGCGAGGAAACATCTGCTGACCGTAATGTGGAAATTTGGAAAATCAAAAAACTAATTAAAAGTCTGGAAATGGCCAGAGGGTAAGATATCTCAATTCAATATTTTTGCGAAAAAAATTAGGCCCCTCAGGTTTTTTGGGGGTTTTTAAAAGCAAAAAAAAAATTCTTGTAAATGTGGCCAATATGTAAGTATGTGTGTGTATGCACCCCATATAAATTCTTTCAAATGGGGGGCTACGCTGCATTACATGTACATACATACATACATGCATATGCGCCCATTTCCAATATGCTCTGGTGATTTCATTGGTGTACCAAAGGCCCCATGCGACTTAATTTCCCCATATTTTACTACCATGTGGCCTATGTGGCGACTGACATTACTTCGGCTTCACTGTTTTCATTATTTTTTTTAATGTGGGGAAAATATGGTTAGGTTTTCCTCGAATCAATGTGGATTTTCCTCCCGCAAAAAAAAAAATGTTTGTTTATATTTTATGCTTATCCCTCCTACCCTTCTTTCAGGTAAATAGGTATGACTAAGTGCATTTTGTTTATAACCTCAACGGGACAGGTGGAAAATGTGATTGTGGGATATATCCAATGAAGTGCCGTAAAAGGCGTTTTAGCTGTAGAAGGCATGGAAGGGTTCTTTTAGCCAAAAGAAAACCTATCTATAGAAGACCTGTGGCAGTTCGTCCATTTGAGGGAGAGTAAAAGGCGTTTCGTCTGATAGCGTCTCCAATTTCAAGAAGAATAGTAGGTTAGGTTAAAGGATGTGCGGTTGTTTATACAACCGTGCACTCGGAGACCTATTGTGTTCATCCTAATTTAAGATAGGAGAATAGAATAATAAGAAGAGAAGGATATGATTAACGTTTAGTGAAGAAGCCCGAATCTGAATAAAGAGTAGAGAAGTTAGTAGGTTTGCATCCACGGTGTATCAGCGTTTGTTCCTAACCATTATAGTCTTCTGGCTTACTGAAGAATGACCGCTGGCTCGATGGAAGACAAGTCTGGCAGAATTTGCTTACCCAGTAGCCTCTGTCTCACTCCTATAAGAGTTGGACAGTGGCAGAGTAAGTGCTCCACCGTGTCGTCATCTCCCTCCATTTGCATGTCATGGGCTTTATGTTGCAGTGTCCTGTAATTAGGCCACCACGGGCTTCAAGTCCAGCTTTGTCATGGATATGAGTGATCTTGATCTCCTTTCGGAGTTCACCGGCCAAATCTTTTTGGAGACATTACATCCCCTTTCAGTTAGCCAGTTCTGTTGAATTCTCCCAAGATAATGCTTATGCCGTACTTGGAAGAAGTGACATAAAGGTGACTTCGCTGAGCTCTCAATCTCTAGAGCTACTGACTCAGATCCGCTTCTGGCCAAATCATCGGCTGATTCATTGCCAGATATGTTGCAGTGTCCAGGGACCCAACAGAGTTTGACAAACGATTTAACATTTTCCAGAGCATTCCTGCATTCCAGAACTGCAATAGATTTGATTGTAAATGAATTTAGAGCCTTCTGGGACGCTTGCCTATCGACATGTGTAGTCACCGGTCCGCCCAGTTCATTGATTCTATTTGCCAGCAGCTCTATGGCCTTCCCGACAGCAAAGATTTCTGCCTGAAAAAGTCGTTTTTTAGTTTGAAGGATCGTTGGATACTTATTTGACCCATCAGTATAGACAGCTATACTATTAAAAGGTGGAGTGTCGTGGCTACAGAAGTCTCTGTTAGGTATATGGATATCAAGTAGTTCAAAGCTGTGTCTAGGTGATACATAATCGCTAGCTATAGCCTGATTTCCTATGCTTTCCACATATTTAAAATTGACGGAGTGTCCAAAGGGCTGACTCCGCCATTGTCCCAGTTCATTGAGTCACAGGGCACACCTAGCAGCTAAAGGACTTCTATAATAAATTCTTCATTTAACGGTATATTTAAAATTGACGGAGTGTTCAAAGGGCTGACTCCGCCATTGTCCCAGTTCATTGAGTCACAGGGCACACCTAGCAGCTAAAGGACTTCTTTAATAAATTCTTCATTTAACGGTACCTCCCTATTTTCGGTACTTTGATGATTTTAACGACATTATTCACTGGCATTGTTTGAAATTTGGTATTTGAAGTTCGTAATGGATACTACAGCCTTATACAGAAAATCGTATATGCAGCCCCCTGCCAATATTCAGTATTTTGATGATTTTATGTATTCACTGAAATTGTTTGAATTTTTGTACTTGAAGTTCCTGTTAGGTACTATATGCTGTGACAGAAAATGTTCTATGAAGGTTCAGGTCTTCGTATAGCCCCGAAATAAAGGTAACTCTTTATATTCGTCACGGGATTTTTTTTGTCAAGAATATTGTAGTGACTTATGAAGGTCCATGTCTTAGTACAGACTCCAATATAACGGCTATATTTGGTAGTCTTAAGATTTGAACAGATTTTATTTATTTTTTTGAAAATTTCCGAATGCACTCCAAATGGTTGTGGGTCTTCAAAGTTCGTCAATGTTATTATTGCAATTGTGGATAAGCATAATACTCTTTAAGTATGTCGAATTTAACCTATTTCTTTGTTTCGAACATAGATATTTTAAATCACTGAATATTTGTCCGATAAATATGTTCATGGCGAAAATACGACAAACTTATAAGGAATATCCTTGAGGTATGCCTATTCCGAACGGTCAATACATTTCCACAAGTTGCTGGGTTCTAAAACATCCGATGCTTCCATTTCACTTCATGTCGCACGTAAAAGAGTTTTCATACATTTCCAATAAAGGTTGTACTGCCTTAAAATCCTTAAAACTTTCTTGCATATGGCTCTGAAGTTCGCTAATAATTGAAATATATTGATCTATTATGCTAGAATGAAAGTCATATAATTCTGCTGTCTTTGGGAAACTGGAAAAATGTCTCTGTCGTAAATCCTGTTTATGTATGTGTAAATCATTTTCAAATTCAGCAAAAGTCTTTCAAGCCTGAATAACACTTTTTTCTTTACCTTGAAGTTTCAAGTTAACTTCATTTATAATCCTTGAAATATCAGCTGAAAATGCTAGGTCTGAAATAAAATTCTAGTTTTTTTTGCAGTAGACATTCATCTATATTCTCCTGTTCCAAAAATTCAACTACTTCACTTCGCAGTTCAAAAACGACTTAACCATCTAACTTCTGTGAATAACTTTAAATCAAAGTGTTATATTACTTTTCTTTTTAAAAATTGAACGAATTTTCGATGAGAGAGCGAGTGATGTCCGCCACTAATTCTATTAATTATTTTTTCGGCAACTTTCGTCGCTAGATGGTTCGTGAGAAATTTTGATACCAAAGCTAGCTGATGTATAACACAATGAAAATTTTCAAACTTAAAACCATGTTTATTCAATTTTCCTATGAATCCATGGCCTATGATTCATCTCCATCAAACCCCAGCTATTTTATTTGAGTCTACGGTAATTAAAAGTTTTTCATATACTGCCTCATATATTAATTTGCGAATTTGCCTGTTACATTTGAATTCCTTGAATTTAATGTAAACAAACTTTCAAATGTATTGTAATTAGTGTCAGTAGGTCGCACACAAATTAATAGTTGACTTATTTTGTTTATGTATACAGGGTGAGATAAAAAACTGCAACAAAGTCAAATGCCATAATTTTTACATTTTTTTACAAATTATTGAATGAAAGCAAAAAATGTCGGAAATAGCATCAAATTTTAGAATAAGTTTAGATTTGTTCAAATTGATCACCTTTGACACGAATTATAGCCTTCAAACGGCCAATGAAACCATCACACGCTGACCAAATGTTGTTCTGCGGTATTTTGTACATTTTCAGTTGACCTCTTTGGTAAGTAAACGCGATCGTTTTGTTTGTTTACCAACTGCTGGACAACGAATGTTTTCTCTTCGGAGAAAACCAAATTCGACAGTTCACCACTTTCGGCCAAGCGAAGCAACTCTTAGCTCTTTTGAGTCTATTTTCTTTCTGTTGTGGTGTAAGTTCTTGCACTTTTTGAAATTTCAATGGTTTTACCCCGAACTCATTTTTCAATATTTTCCAAATGGAATATTGCGATATGTTCAGCTCACAAGACATTTTTCGGCCACTGCGAGGCGGGATTCGATCAAGTAGCTTCTTTACATTTCGAACCAATTCTGCTGATGTTGCTGTTTTCTTCCGCCCACTTCTTTGACATCGGGCTACGCTACCAGTACCACGATAACGAGCGATGGTACGAGACACAAAAGATTTTTTCACACTTAAATGCTGGAGTGCTTTAACGCAACTCAATAAGCTATCTGCAATTTCTTTTTCAATTCAGGTTGCCAAAGAAATCCCATCACGAGAAATGCATGTACGCGATAATTGTAGCGTTTCCATAAGTTCAGTACAAACATGCCATTTCTCCATTGTCTTTTTAAGAATATTTTTAATCATCATCCGTGAATGGTATCCGCTATCGTGAATGGTCTCCCTTGTTTAATTATATCAAGATTTATAATGTTTGATATTTCAATTTATAACTCCCTATTTTTTTATTACTATCTTCCGCACCACTCAGCCCTGTCTTTAACTTATTTATAAGTATGTCCCTTTTTTCCTTTTTTTTTCTTTCATCTTCGCCTAAACAACTTATTGCATTGTGAGCTTTGGGAGAATGTGTTTTTATAACACCTCCTTCCCTGTTCCTTTTGAACGTTTTGTGCCACAAACCACACTTTAAATTACCAAAAACATAAAAAAAGAGCTCATCATATTTTCTCTACACATGCTGTCTCATTTAAACTTCAACTTGTTTTCTCTAAGTGTTAACGGCAAAACAATGCGTACACCACCCAAGCACGTGTGCATCCGTTGAAGTCTAATCAACAACTGAATGCGAGAGAATAAAAATACACACGAACAGAGATCACCGCAAAATTTGCGGCGCAAATTTACCGTTTTGTGCACTGTTTTTACTCCTGGGGTTTTAATACTCTTAGACTCCGTCCAGCTTGAGGATTATATGACAGAATTTGTCCTTGATATCAAACATTCATTTAATTTAAAAATTTTTATTTTTTTTTTTAATTTTTAGCAATGGCACCAGCATGATATCCCTGATCATACCGCCCAAAGATCAAATATCACGTGTGAGTAAAATGCTAGCCGATGAATTTGGAACAGCGTCGAACATTAAGTCACGTGTCAATCGACTATCGGTTCTGGGTGCAATTACCTCGGTACAGCATAGACTTAAATTGTATACCAAAGGTAGGTCCAAATAAGTTTTGCACATTTTCTCGATCAATTTTCCTTGTGTTTTTCTCCTCCACAGTGCCTCCCAATGGACTGGTAATTTATTGTGGTACAATTGTCACCGAAGAGGGTAAAGAGAAAAAAGTCAATATCGATTTTGAGCCATTCAAACCGATCAATACATCATTGTACTTGTGCGACAATAAGTTCCATACCGAAGCATTGACCGCCCTCTTGGCCGATGACAATAAATTCGGCTTCATTGTTATGGATGGTAATGGTGCACTGTTTGGTACCCTGCAGGGTAATACGCGAGAGGTGCTACACAAATTCACCGTTGACTTGCCGAAGAAACATGGGCGTGGTGGTCAATCGGCGTTGCGTTTTGCCCGTCTGCGCATGGAGAAACGTCACAATTATGTGCGTAAAGTTGCTGAAGTTGCCACACAGCTGTTCATCACCAATGACAAGCCAAATATCGCTGGTCTCATATTGGCCGGTAGTGCTGATTTTAAAACTGAACTGAGTCAATCGGATATGTTTGATCCGGTGAGCAAAAATACTTTTTTTTGCAGAAAAAAATTAATCGTTATTTTATCTTCCAGAGATTACAATCGAAAATAATCAAACTGGTCGATGTCTCATATGGCGGCGAGAATGGTTTCAATCAGGCAATTGAACTGGCAGCGGAATCTTTGCAAAATGTTAAATTTATTCAAGAGAAGAAACTAATTGGCCGTTATTTTGATGAAATATCCCAGGTAGAACTTGAAACCAATTAACCTTTGAGTTTGATTTATTTTTTAATTGTTTTTCTTTTTTTTTTGCAGGATACAGGCAAATATTGTTTTGGTGTTGAGGATACATTGCGTGCTTTAGAATTGGGTTCCGTTGAAACGTTGATATGTTGGGAAAATTTAGATATTCAAAGATATGTCCTTAAAAATCATGCAAATTCAACGGCAACCACAGTGTTGCATTTGACGCCGGAACAAGAAAAGGATAAATCGCATTTTACAGACAAAGAGGTAAGCATACCTGACGAAATTGTACATGTTTACTAGTCCCCATTCATTTGGCCTTGCAGATTCAGTTGATATTATTTTAAAAACTCTTTGAAAACTTAAAAAGTTTGTTAGGACTCAGACTTGAATAAACGTGAATTTTTAAAGAATTTTGGAAGGACTCAAGAATTTAAAAAAACGTGGATTTTTTAAAGAATTTTTGGAAGGACTCTAAGACTTGAATAAACGTGGATTTTTTAAAGAATTTTGAATGGTTTTAAAGATTTGAATGAACGTGGATTTTTAAAGAATTTCGGAAGGACTCAAAGACTTGAATAAACGTGGATTTTTTAAGAATTTTTGGAAGGACTCAAAGATTAAAACAAACGTGGATTTTTCCAAGTGATTTTTGGAAGAACTCAAAGACTTGAATAAACGTGGATTTTTTAAGAATTTTTGGAAGGACTCAAAGATTAAAACAAACGTGGATTTTTCCAAGTGATTTTTGGAAGAACTCAAAGACTTGAATAAACGTGGATTTTTTAAAGAATTTTGGAAGGACTCAAAGACTTGAATAAACGTGGATTTTTTAAAGAATTTTGGAAGGACTCAAAGACTTGAATAAACGTGGATTTTTTTAAAGAATTTTGGAAGGACTCAAAGACTTGAATAAACGTGGATTTTTTAAGGAATTTTTGAAGGACTCAAAGACTTGAATATACGTGGATTTTTTAAAGAATTTTGGAAGGACTCAAAGACTTGAATAAACGTGGATTTTTTAAAGAATTTTGGAAGGACTCAAAGACTTGAATAAACGTGGATTTTTTAAAGAATTTTGGAAGGACTCAAAGACTTGAATAAACCTGGATTTTTAAAGAATTTTGGAAGGATTCAGAGTCTTGAGTAAACGTGGATTTTTTAAAGAATTTTGGAAGGACTCAAAGACTTGAATAAACGTGGATTTTTTAAAGAATTTTGGAAGGACTCAAAGACTTGAATAAACCTGGATTTTTAAAGAATTTTGGAAGGATTCAGAGTCTTGAGTAAACGTGGATTTTTTAAAGAATTTTGGAAGGACTCAAAGACTTGAATAAACGTGGATTTTTTAAAGAATTTTGGAAGGACTCAAAGACTTGAATAAACCTGGATTTTTAAAGAATTTTGGAAGAACTCAAAGACTTGAAAAAACGTGGATTTTTTAAAGAATTTTGGAAGGACTCAAAGAATTGAATAAACTTTTATTTTTTAAAGAATTTTGGAAGTACTCAAGGACATGCCATAACGAAATCCACTAAGTTCATCTAGCCAAGAGGCATGAATGCAGCGAATAACGGGGCAAGGTTTGAACATTTGAAGACTGATAGGTGGACCTAAGGCTGGAATCTCCCAGTGTTTTATGTAGGCCTGAAGTACAATTTTATTGGCGAACACGATTCAATCAATAATCTGAACGAGAAATAAGCATAGTATTAGAGATGTAAAAAAATGGGGACACGTTATGGCAAGGTTTGTGTAGAAAATTTATGAGGCGCTTTAACGAGATGTTTTCCTGTTAGGCTAGAGAAGCTCGTCGTGGTCCAATGGTTCGTACAGAAATTTATTTTTTTTTTTTGATACAGAAAGAGGAAGGAAAGATAAAGGCAATTTTCAAAAAAAAAAAAAAATAAATAAATAAATAATTTAAATGCGTTAAAAATTCTGTTAAAAACTTAAAAATGCCGAATGTAGTCATTACATTAGGATCTGTACGACGACGGGGACATGCATAGGAAACTTTTGTCATAAGCCATTACAATATTCAAATGCGAAACAAAAAAATTGGTGTATAATGTAGCTCAAATCATGAAAGTACCGACTATCGGGAGGCACCTTCACAGACAATTTTCTGTCATAGACAGTAGTAGCTATTACGAACTTCAAATACCAAATTTTAAACAATTCCGGTGAATAATGTCGCTAAAATCATCAAAATACCGAATACAGAGAGGTACCGTTATGTAGGGGCCATATGAAAACGTCGACCATTACAGACAATTTTCTGTCATAGGTTGTAGTACCCATTACGAATTTCAAATACCAAATTTGAAACAATTCCGGTGAATAATGTTGCTAAATTAAGCAAAATACCGAATATCGGGAGGTACCATTATATGGGGGCTATAGGAAGACGTGGACCTGCACGAACAATTTTCTGTCATAGGCTGTTGTATTTATTACGGACTTCAAATACCATATTTGAAACAATTCCGGCGAATAGCGTCACTAAAATCATGAAAAAATAGAATATCGGGAGATGCCGTAATATGGGGGCCATACTAAAACGTGGACCTACATGGCTCATTTTCAATACCAGAAGTCCTGCAGGCATAATATACATTTAAGTAAAATTGTATCAACTTACTTCATTTCGTTCGGAAGCTAGAGTGATTTCCACAGACGGACGGACATCGCTAAATCGACATAGTACTTTATGCTTATCAAAAATATACAGGGTGAGAAAAAAACTGCAACCAACTTCAGACTGCTGTCATTTCCAAACCACTCGACCGAAAGCTGCTAAAATTTTTCCAGTGACTGTTCATTATATTGTTTACAAGCGCGCAAATGCATTTTGGTGAGAATTTTCCAGAGAAAAAGTTATTCGTGGTGGAATTTAAGCGTGATAGTGAGATTTCTTTATATTTGGCTGGAAACCCACAGGTGGCTATCGTTAGAGCACTCTAGCATTTAAATGTGAATAAATCTTTTGTGTCTCGTATCATCGCTCGTTATCGTGATACTGGTAGCTTAGCCCGACCTCAAGGAAGTGGACGGAAGAAAACAGAAACATCAGAAGAAATGGTTCGAAAAGTAAAGAAGCCATTTGATCGAAACCCGCGTCGCAGTGGCCAAAAAATGGCTTGTCTTTCGGCAAAAATTAAAAAACTGAGCTCGGGGTAAAGCCATTGAAATTCCAAAATGTGCAAGAACTTACACCGCAACAGAAAGAAAATAGACTCAAAAGAGCCAAAGAGTTGCTTCGCATGGCCGAAAGTGGTGAACTGCTGAATTTGGTTTACTCCGATGAGAAAACATTCGTTGTCCAGCAATTTGTAAACAAGCAAAATGATCGTGGTATTGGTGCTTGTCAAAGAGGTCAATTGAAAATGTGCACCTTCGTTTGGCCACCAGAACTCCAGCGCCGGCCATGGTGATGGTGTGGGCCACCATGACAGCCAGCCGACGGTCGTACTCCGCCGAATATTATCGTGAAAATATTCTGGAGGGTGTATTAAAACCTTGGGCACGAAAACATTTTGGCCGCAGACCTTGGACATTCCAACAGAACTCAGGACCATCGCATTCAGCACGCTTCATCAAAGAATGGTTACAATGAAATGAGGTTCCTCACTATTGTGTGTGGAGAATTTTGGAAAGCAAGGTTTGCACTAAAAAATACCAAAGTGTCGATCACCTCAAGCAAGTGCTTCGCCGGGAATGGGCCAAAATACCGCAGAGCAACATTCGGGCAGCGTGTGATTGTTTCATTGGCCGTTTGAAGGCTATAATTCGTGCCAATGGTGATCCATTTGAACAATTCTAAACTTATTCTAAAACTTGATGCTATTTCCGACATTTTTTGCTTTCATTCAATAAATTTTTTTAGAGAAATGTAAAAATTATGACGTTTGATTTTGTTGCAGTTTTTTTTTTATCTCACCCTGTATATATTATGATACCATTCTATGGCCGGGAGCCCCATAAAGATAACACTTTTCATTTGTTCTATTCCAGACTGGTGTTGAAATGGAGCTTATAGAATCCCAGCCCCTGTTGGAATGGCTAGCGAACAATTATAAAATGTTTGGAGCCACACTGGAAATTATAACTGACAAATCCCAGGAGGGTAGTCAATTTGTGCGTGGTTTTGGTGGCATTGGGGGTAAGGAAGTAAAACATAAATAAATTTCTCTCAATAATACATTTTCTCTCTCTCTCTCTCTCTCTCTCTCTCTCTTTTCTCCCCACATCTCTTTAGGAATTTTACGATATAAGGTTGATTTTCAATCATTACAAGCCGATGAACCATTGGAAGATGTTGATCTTGACGATTATTAAATCTGTTAATACCATATTTATTATGAAGAGAATGATGGAAATGAAGATAATGATTACGATGAAGATATGATACTGACAAATGAAAGCAGCTTGTTTGATTACTCTTAATGATATCTTGCAGTCCAAAATATTTCATATACATAAGAAAAGATGAAAACCAATAACAAAATTTTGGTCATTACAAATCACTCATCCCATGGCAAAGAACACAGCTGTGTGGAAATATAAATACGAGGTGTTCTCTACTAATTTTATGTTTAATGTATAGCGCAAATACTGCCTTTAAATTCTCGAACAATGAGTATTAAAATGAAGACCACCATCACCAACCCAAAAATAAAAATACAACATCCATAATCAGCCACAGCAGTTGGGAGCAGCAGGAGCAGGACTTTTGTTTATTGAATGAACACAAATAGGATATTTTGGAATTTGGAAATACTTCAATGGAACTCTGTTCAATTTCCTTGGATGTCTCAAGAAATTGGACACTTAGAATCTCCATTTGGATTCTCTTGGGGAGTTTCTGAAAAAAGTCGGGTGTATGGACTTATTTTCTGAAATTTAATGGAGTCCTTGAAAGGCGTCTCAATTCTCTTGAGGCTGAATTTCTTAAATTATGTGTTCCTCCAATAGCAAAGGCTCCAAAAATAGGTATACCCCTTCGGTATAACATTGTGCTCCACCAAATCAAACTGCTGTCATTTTAACATCTCTACCAAAAGAACAGCTGTTTAAATTAACGAAATAAATTGGAAAATATTTGCAAGAGAATATTTAGTTGAATACTTTAATAGATACGACAATAAACAAATTTTTGGGGCTCAAAAAGGGTCGACGAGCATCTCAGAGATAACCGGAATGGCCACGGAAAGCATATAGAAGAAAGCATTAATTGAATGAGGTAATAATTAACTCTTATATTCTCTCTTCCTCTCATCCTGATCTCTCGACCCTGTTCTGAAAGATGCTATGGTGAGTATTTTCGAAATGGACCCAGGGAAAGTCAAATAAAAAACAATGCGCTTGACTTCCTGGAGCTGTAACTGCACTAGATTCCTCCGGTTGCTGGGGTAAGCTCATGGAGGCCAGGGTCGACAACGGATGGTTGAATATCTCATTCTCGGTGGTGACCTGGCTAATCCCAGGGTTACAAAATCTAAAAGCACCGAGAATCCAAGGGATAAGAGCTCTTTAATGGTCCAGTGTCCATCATGATATCAACGAGGAATTTTTAAAGAATATTTTTTGAAAATCCTCCGGACTATTAACGTAGATTTTTTATATCTTTCACCATATATAGTATGGAGGGTATATCAAGTTCGTAATTCCGTATATATGTCACTCATCGAAATAATAATTTAAGACACTACAAAGTATATACAGGGTGAGATAAAAAACTGCAACTGATTTTTTTTTAATTTTATTGAATGAAAACAAAAAATGTCGGAAATAGCATCAAATTGTGGCGGCCGGAAAGTACTCAATAATAATTTACTTTAAAAATATTATTTTTATGTGATCAAGTCATCTTTGATTTTGTATTTTTCTTTTTTCGTCAAGTTAGCCTTGACTTTCAGTTTTGGTATTTGGTGACAACAAAATAATTTTTACATTTTCTAGAGAGTTCTATTTTGTCTTTTGGAAATTAAACATTAAACTGAAAAAATTAAATTGTTGTGGTTTTATTCATACCAACGCACAACAAATTGGTGACCCCGGACAAAAAATAAGAACAGCCAATTGAACGGAAATCAGACCTACTAATGGCAACCACCGCTACAAATTCTGGACCATCAATGGAAGTTTCGCGAGTAGCTGTGAAAGCTCCACCATTTTGGCGTTCAGACCCGCTGCTTTGGTTTAAACAAATGGAATCGCAATTCATTATGGCTGGTATTACGCAAGATTCCACAAAATTCCATACCATTGTCGCATCTATTGAAAGCAGTATTTTGGAGAAGGTATCAAACATCATCGTCGATCCTCCTGCGGAAAACATGTACGACACGCTTAAGGAAAAACTTATTAGCAGTTTTTCGGATTCAGAGGAGAAGCGTCTCAAGAAGCTTTTGACTAACGTTGAACTTGGAGACAAGAAGCCTTCAGAGTTATTATCCGAAATGCGGTCTTTGTCTCAAGGTAAGGTTTCAAACGACATTTTGAAGCAGTTGTGGATGCAACGTCTTCCTTCACAAATGAAGGCGATATTGTCAGTTAGTGAAGATAGTCTTGACAAATTATCAACGATGGCCGATAAGATTGCGGATAGCAGTGAATCGGATGTGTGCAGCTTTTCTCCATCGAGCACTCGTTTAGAGGAAATTGAGAAGAAATTGCAAACGCTCTGCACGCAGATAAATTCCTTCAGGAAGTCAAGAAGCCGTAGCAAGTCATCATCATCAAGGAATAGACGGTCAAATTCCGGAAGCAAATCAAAACCTTATTGTTGGTATCATTTCAAATTTGGGGAGAAAGCCAGAAAATGTCTTGCTCCATGCAATTATAAGCCTCCAACTTCGGAAAACTGAATGGTGCACCATCTTTGGTGACGGATGAGTGTACCCCAGATATATGTCGCCTGTTTGTTCGAGACATTAAATCGAAAACCAGGTATTTAGTAGATACAGGGGCAGATTTAACGGTATATCCTGTGTCGCAATCCATGCGAAATCAACCTCCCAGTCAGCTTGTTTTGTATGCCGCAAACCAAACTCCGATTAGGACATATGGTACAAAAACCCTTTCCATAGATTTGGGAATGAATCGATTGTTTAAATGGAACTTCGTAATTGCTGATGTACAAAAACCTATTATTGGATCAGATTTTTTGGGGAAATATGGACTACTTATCGATATTAAGAATAATACTCTTATAGACCCCCACACCAATTGGAAATGTAATGGTGCTATAGCAAGTGTACAGGATTCCGCTATTAAATGCATTTCGAGATCATCTCAATATACGTCATTGCTGCGAGAATTTAACGACTTAACAAAGATTAATTTCAAATCTAGAGCAAAACATTCAGTTAAGCATCATATCGAAACTACGAAAGGTCCACCCGTTTTCAGCAAACCCAGACGTCTTCCACCTGAAAAACTACAAATTGTGAAGAAAGAATTCGAGGAAATGATTCGTCTTGGTATATGTCGTCCATCAAATAGCAGTTGGGCTAGTCCGCTACATATGGTGAAGAAATCCAATGGTGAGTGGCGTCCATGCGGTGACTACCGTGGTTTAAATGCTCGCACCGTCCCAGACCGATACGCAGTTCCACATATTCATGATTTTGGTGCATTGCTGGATGGTAAGACAATTTTTAGCAAAATTGATTTGGTTAAAGCTTACCACCATATACCAGTGGAAGAAGAAGATATAAAAAAGACAGCAGTAGCAACACCGATTGGAAATTTTGAATTTACTAGGATGGCATTTGGATTGTGCAACGCTGCACAAACATTCCAACGATTTATGCACGAGGTATGTAGAGACTTAGAATTCGTTTACGTTTATATAGACGACATTCTCGTGGCATCAGTAAGTGCGGAAGAACATCAAAATCATCTTAGAAGATTATTCGAGAAACTGCGCCAATATGGTTTAACTATCAACATCGATAAAAGTGTTTTTGGAGTTGCGGAATTGGAATTTCTTGGGTATCTCGTAACAAAAGAAGGGTTAAGACCTCTTCCTAGCAGAGTTCAGGTAATACAAGCATATAAGAGACCCAGCACTGTCAAAGATCTTCGTCGTTTTCTGGGTATGATAAACTTCTACAGACGATTTCTACCAGGTGCTGCAAAGTCACAGGCAATTTTACATAGCATTTACAACGCCAATGTGAAGAACGATAACAGCGATATAACGTGGACTGAGGAACGGACACAAGCTTTCGAAAATTGCAAGAAAGAGTTGGCAGACGCAACATTATTATCCTATCCATGCGAAAATGCACCAACATCAGTTTGTGTCGACGCTTCCGATTTTGCCATGGGTGGTGTCCTACAACAGTATGTTAGTGGTGAGTGGAAGCCACTAGGATTTTTTTCTAAGAAATTGTCGCCTGCTCAAGCTAAATACAGTGCATATGACCGTGAATTGCTGGCAATATATTCCACTTTGAAGCATTTCCAGTATTTCTTGGAAGGTCGTCAGTTCTGCATTTTTACGGACCACAAACCTATAACATACGCTTTTAAGCAGCGTCCGGAAAAGGCATCTCCACGACAACTTCGACATCTGGATTACATTGGGCAGTTCACAACAGATATACGCCATATCAGTGGTAAAAATAATGTGGTGGCCGATACATTGTCGCGTGTGCAAACAATCAGAACGCCCCATTGCATTGACTTTAAAGGACTAGCAAAAGAGCAACAATCCGATGAAGAATTGCAATCAATATTAAACGGCAAAATGTCCGGTCTACAGCTAAAACTTATGAAGAATGAAGGATTTGAGATTTACTGTGATGTATCAAGCTCTACCATCAGACCTTACGTAACACCATCATTTCGAAAGTTAGTTTTTGATACTATTCACGGATTGTCACACCCTGGAGTTAAAGGTACAGTCAATTTAATTCGGTCACGTTACATCTGGAAGTCATTAAAGAAGGATGTGAGCGAATGGGCTAGAAGTTGTATCGAGTGCCAGCGATCCAAAGTTCACCGTCATACGAAAAGTGAGTATGGTGAATTCAAACCACCAACTCAACGTTTCAAGCACATCCACATAGATATTGTTGGACCATTGACGCCATGTCAAGGTTATCGATATCTCTTAACTTGTATTGACAGGTACACGAAATGGGCAGAAGCAATTCCTCTGGCAGACATTAGGGCTGAAACAGTAGCCTCAGCTTTTGTCAGTCTATGGATTTCACGATTTGGTGTGCCATTGGAAATTATTTCGGATCAAGGTAAACAATTTGAGAGCAGATTATTCAGGCAACTTGCGAAATTATGCGGATCAAGAATGAAACACACAACACCTTATCATCCTCAGACAAATGGATTGGTAGAACGATGGCACAGAACTTTAAAATCAGCTATAAGATGTACAAATAGTAATGACTGGGTAGGTGCACTACCGCTCATCCTACTCGGGTTACGAACCCGAATTATCACCGATACTGATGTATCTCCTGCTGAAATGGTTTATGGAAGTAGTTTAGCTTTGCCTGGAGAACTTATTATTGACACACAGCAGCTTTCAGATGAATCTGATTGGATAACATTATTCCGGAACAAGATGAATAGTACAAAGCCAGTAGTTACAGGATGTCACAGTAGTAACAAAATTTACATCAACAATCAACTGAAAACATGTCAATATGTTTTTCTAAGGTATGATGCAGTGAAGAAACCGTTACAACCACCATACACAGGCCCACATAAAGTTGTTTCAAGGAACGGAAAAATTTTCAAGATTCTTGTTGAAGGAAAAGAGAAAGTAGTTTCTATTGACAGATTGAAACCGTGTATATTATCTAATGAATTCAACAATCAAGGACAAAATCCAAAATCTGTAACAAAGAAAGTTCGTTTCGCTGAATGACAACGCTGGAGGGGGAGTACTGTGGCGGCCGGAAAGTACTCAATAATAATTTACTTTAAAAATATTATTTTTATGTGATCAAGTCATCTTTGATTTTGTATTTTTCTTTTTTCGTCAAGTTAGCCTTGACTTTCAGTTTTGGTATTTGGTGACAACAAAATAATTTTTACATTTTCTAGAGAGTTCTATTTTGTCTTTTGGAAATTAAACATTAAACTGAAAAAATTAAATTGTTGTGGTTTTATTCATACCAACGCACAACAAAATTTTAGAAAAAGTTTAGGTTTGTTCGAATTGCTCAACTTTGACACGAATTATGGCCTTCAAACGGCCAATGAAACCGTCACACGCTGCCCGAATGTTGCTCTGCGGTATTTTGGCCCATTCCCGGCGAAGCGCTTGCTTGAGGTTATCGACACTTTGGAATTTTTTAGTGCCAACCTTGCTTTCCAAAATTCTCCACACACAATAGTCCAACGGATTGGTATCCGTAGATTTTGGTGGCCATTGTGCGCTGGAGATGGAGCGAGGAACCTCATTTTGTAACCAATTCTTGGATGGTGCGTGCTGAGTGCGATGGTGCTGAGTCCTGTTGGAATGTCCAATACTCCCTCCAGAATATTTTCGCGATAATATTCGGATTTTATTTTAATGCCACGGTCGATTAATACGAACGGAGAGCGACCATCGACTGTTATGGCAGCCCACATCATCACCATGGGCGGCGCTTGAGTTCTGGTGGCCAACCGAAGGTGCACATTTTCATTTTCAGCTGACCTCTTTGGCAAGTAAACACGATCATTTTGTATTTTTTTAGAATCTGCTGGGCATGCTTCTGGAATGTGTTCTCATCGGAAAAAAAACCAAATTTGACAGTTCATTACTTTCGGCCAAGCGAAGCAACTCTTCAGATCTTTTAAGTCTATTTTCTTTCTGTTGCGGTGTAAGTTTATGCACTTTTTGGACTTTTAATGGCTTTATCCCGAGCTTATTTTTCAATATTTGCCGAATGGAATATTGCGATATGTTCACAAGCTTACGAGCCATTTTTCGGCCGCTGCGAGGCGGGTTTCAATCAAGTCGCTTGTTTTTACTTTTCGAACCATTTCTGCAGATGTTGCTGTTTTCTTCTGTCCACTTCCTTGACGTCGGGCTACGCTACTAGTATCACGATAACGAGCGATGGTAGGAGACACAAAAGATTTATTCACATTTAAATGCTGGAGTGCTCTAACGATAGCCACTTGCGGTTATCCAGCCAAATATAAAGAAATCAAATTATCACGCTGGAATTCCATCACGAAAAACTTTTTTTCTGAAAAATTCTCATCAAAATGCTTTTGTACGCTTGTAAACAATATAATTAGCTGTCACTGGAATAATGTTAACAGCTGTCGAACGAGTGACTTAGAAATGACAGCAGTCTGAAGTTGATTGCCGGTTTTTCATCACAACCTGTATATTCTTGATCAGCGTAAAATTCTAAGATGATTTAGCCCTGTCCCGCCGTCCTTCTGTTGTAATCACGTTAGAGTCAAAAGGAACTACGATAGGAAGCTAAAATTTTCAACATGTCAGTTTTTTGTCTGCAGGCAGGTCAAGTTCGAAGATGGACTATATCGGCCCACGATATCATATATCCCCCATATAACAACCTATCCTATATTCCCCATATAGCAACATTATTCGTGCTTGAATATTGTAATGGCCTATGACAAATGTTGCCTATGCTGATCCACGCCAATGTAACGGCGACTTCCTATATTCAGTATTTTTAAGATGTTAACAAATGGTGGAGGGCATTCAAAGTTCGGCCCGGCCGAACTTACTGCGTTTTACTTGTTTTAGATTAGAGATATATTTCTGGGATCATCAAAGTTTTCAAGTTGGATTTTCGAGAAATATTTCTTTTGAGGATCATCAAGACTATTAACATCAATTTTAAAGAATATTTTCTGGGACTTAAAGACTTGAAACGTGATTTTTTTTTTAAGACCTCATTTTGGAGAAATGTCTGGGAGGCTGATATTCAGATTTTTCAAAGAACATTTTCTCCAAGGCTCCATTAACAGCAGCAATTAACCTAAATATTTTTCAAGGTCTTTGAAGGATTATTTTTTCGGGAATTATCGAGATTATAAACGTGCATTTTTCTGTTTTGTGATTGATAAAGTCAGTGATCCTCAATTTTCCCCACCTAGTGCCAGAATGGTATTTCTTTGCCTGAAATGAGTTTAATTCTCTTTTGATTGATCCTCTTTTGTTATAATATTTGTAATTAATGAGAATGGTACAGTAGGGTACAAAATGTCCATAGGAACATACAAAAGGGTATGAAAAATACGTACAGGGTAGGCTGTGGTCAGGACAGCGGTCACTTGCAATGCTTCAGGGAGAGAGAGAGAAAGAGACGGAAGAAGGCACATTTTGTAAACAATCTATCTTTTTCGGACGACGGTGGCTAATGGTCAGAACAGCGATCACATAAGGAAAGAGATCGCAACGATTCCGCAAATTCGCCGCAGATCCCAGGCATTCCAAGGAATGTGTTTATCGAATCGGGGGCAGTCAGTGAAGAATTTGGTCGGGGGAGGACCTTGCGTCGAAATAGACGGTAGAAACGAATTTGAACTGCCCGTAAGTGAAAGGTAGGATTAAAGTGCATTATCTGCAGAAAGTTGAAGGAGCTTTGGGTGAGTGTGAGACAAATTTTGCCGAATCTAGAGAGATACTCGAATTAAGCCATCGAGAGAGCCGAGAGGTCCCTAACCCAAGATATATAGGTTTTTTTCCATCGCCTTTTGCAGACCACTAGGGAGAAGCATACCCACTATCGATACTGATTAAGAAGAAACCGATTAGAAAGTTATAGCGAATTAAGTCATCAAGAAGGCCGAGAGGTCTCCGAACATGTGAGCTGAAGATTCTAAATATCGGGAGGGCTGAAATTTCTCCCAAACATAATATTTAGCAGGTTATGCAATCGAGAGGACCGAAAGGACTCCCGAATCCAATTAACCGAAACTGTCATATCTAGCATAACGCGTCTCATCTTCGAAATCTACCAGAACGACCAGTAGCTCTTGCGGTTTTCCTTCGGTCGTTAGGCGATGTAACATTTCAAGGCCAACAAAGAAGTCGGCATCGGGATTGCCGAAGCCATTTTTATATTCATTCCAATTACGGTTGAAGTTCACCGAACCATCCTTACGACGCATTATGGTTGTCCATTGACTAAACAATGAAAAATAGAAAATCATTCAATTAATGTCTAGATTTTCAAACAACTCACCTTTCAGGAGCCTTATTTCCAACATTGGCGTTCTCCAATAATTTATTTAAACGATCTTCTTGTTCATTTTGTCTAGACGAAAGGAAACAGAAATATTATGAGAATTAAAAAAAAAAAAAACAAGTAAAAAAGCTGTAAGTTCGGCCGGACCGAACTTTGAATACCCTTCACCATTTGGTAAAAATTTGACAATTTTCAAAAAAATGAAATCCGTTAAAATTTCTGTTAAAATCTTAAAAATACCGAATGTAGCCGTATATTAGGGTCTATACGACGACGTGGACAAATTTGAAAAAGTCTGTTCATAATGTATCTAAAATCATAAAAATACGAATATAGGGTGGTACCACGGAGTTATAAAACTTGGACCTGCGCAGACAATTTTCTGCCATAGGCTGTAGTATCCGTTACGAACTTCAAATACATAATTTGAAATAAGTCCGGTAAATATTGTCGCTAAAATCATGAAAATACCGAATATCGGCGGGTTCCGTTATATGGGGGCTATACGAAGACGTCGACCTGCACAGACAATTTTCTGTCATTACGAACTTCAAATGCGAAATTTGAAATAGTTCCGGTAAATATTGTCGCTAAAATCATCAAAATACCGTATATCGGGGGGTACCGTTATATGGGGGCTATACGAAGACGTCGACCTGCACAGACAATATTCTGCCATAGGCTGTAATATTCATTACGAACTTCAAATACCAAATTTGAAACAATTCCTGTAAATAATGTCGCTAAAATCATCAAAATACCGAATATCGGGAGGTACCGTTATATGGGGGCTATATGAAGACGTGGACCTACATGGCTCATTTTCTGTCTTAGGAAGTAGTATCCATTACGAACTTCAAATACCAAATTTGAAACAATTCCTGTAAATAATGTCGCTAAAATCATCAAAATACCGAATAGCGGGGGGGTTCCGTTATATGGGGGCTATACGAAGACGTAGACCTACATGGTCCATTTTCTGTTTTATGCTGTAATATCTATTACGAATTTTAAATACCAAATTTGAAACAGTTCCGGTGAATAATGTCGCTAAATTCATCAAAATACCGAATATCGGCGGGTTCCGTTATATGGGGGCTATACGAAGACGTCGACCTGCACAGACAATTTTCTGCCATAGGCTGTAGTATCCATTACGAACTTCAAATGCGAAATTTGAAATAGTTCCGGTAAATAATGTCGCTAAAATCATCAAAATACCGCATGTCGGGAGGTACCGTTATATGGGGGCTATACGAAGACGTGGTCCTATATGGCTCATTTTCTGTCTTAGGATGTAGTATCCATTACGAACTTCAAATACCAAGTTTGAAACAATTTCGGTAAATAATGTCGGTTTCCCCGACACATGTATACCCCCAGCCTTGAGTTATGATTATTCAAACTGTTTACCTTTAGGGGGAGGTTCCGAAGCAGTATTTGGCCTAAGACTGATATAAATATTACAACGTGCCAGATTTGGACTGTATCGACTACTTCCTATACTTTATATGAGATATTTAGAAAATGTGGAAATATGCGGGAGGTAACAGATAAAGCGGACAGAAGTTTTCCAATTTCATACTTCACCTAATACAGAGAAAATATTGGTATGTGCAAAATTTGAAGGAAATCGAACTTTTATATCCAATTTTATGCGAAATCATAAATTCCGATAAATTACATATTCAAATCAGATTTCTGGTTAAGAGAAATATTTAGATATAGCAAGTCGTAAAGAATCGCCGACTTGTTTCGTAAGTTATGACAAATAAAAGTTTAAATTTGTGACTCTTTGTGGGGTGAAGGGGTTCGCAGATATACATCATCTTCACAACACATCCTCCGTTAGCAAAAATATTTGAATGTGTGAAATTTGAGCGTTTATTTTTCAAAATCTTGAATCCTATGTGGGTGAGGTACCAGAAGGGGTTCGCAGATATGTATCAATTTCACAACACATCCGCCGTTAGCAAAAATATTTGAATGTGTGAAATTTGAGCGTTTGTTTCTCAAAATCTTGAATTCTATGTGGGGGAGGTTCCAGAAGAAATAGTCTGATCTCTACCATCATTAGAACAGATCTTGTGTTGATGGAAATATTGATATGTGCCATGGCTGAATGGAATCGGATGTTAATTTCGTATTTTATGAGCTTCATGAATATTCAAAATTTTGACCCTTTGTGGGGGAGGTACCAGAAGGAGTGGACCGATATAATCCATTTTCACACCAAATTTTGGATTAGTAAAAATACTGCAATGTGTGTAATTTGAAAAGAACCGGATGCTTATTTTGGATTTTGTGATCGTTTGGGTTATTCAAAAATTTAACCATTTGAGGGGGAGGTACCAGAAGTAATGGTTCGATGTCCACCATCTTTATAACAGATCTTGAGTTTATGAAAATATTGAGATGGGCCCAGTCTGAAGCGATTCGGATAGTAATTGCGTGTTTTATGAGCTTCATGAAAAAAATGTTGACCCTTTGTGGGGGAGGTACCAGAAGGAGTGAACCGATATATTCCAATTTCACACCACATCTTGGGTTAATAAAAATATTGTTATGTGTGTAATTTGAAGAGAACCGGATGCTTATTTCAGATTTTATGGTCGTTTTGGTTATTCAAAATGTTGACCCTTTGTGGGGGAGGTACCAGAAGGAGCGGACCGATATAAACAACAGATCTTTTGTTAGTGAAAATAATGGGATGTGTGAAATATAAAGAGAGCCTGGTGCTTATTTCGGATTTTATAAAAGTTTTGGTTATTCAAAAAATTGACCCTCTGTGGGGGAGGTACCAGAAAGACTTGATGGAGTGGACCGGTATTATTCTCTTTTTGTACCTGTTCGTTTTTTCGGGTAATATTGCTCGTACCAATATTTATACCCTACACCACTAGGTGGTCAGGGTATTATGTCTTTGTACATTTGTTTGTAACAGGCAAAAGGAAACGAGATAGATCCATAGTTCCTTTAATGATCTACATAGAATCACATTCTGAGTCGATTTATGCTTGTCCTTTCGTCCGTCCTTCCGTCTGTCCTTGTATTTTTGTTAACAAAGTACAGTGCGCATTTATTACCCGAGCCAGATGAAATTTCCCACAAATCATTTGTTTGGCCCAAGGACGAACCCTATTGTAATTGGAGGTAATCGGTAAAAAATTTAGATATAGCTCCCATATATATCTTCGTCCGATTTGCCTTTTATTGTGAACCAAACGTGTAATATCAGTCCGAATAATATGGAATTTTGCACATACAACCAAATTAGGCCTGAAAATAAATATGCCAAATTTGATTGAAATCGGTTCAGATATAGCCATAGCTACCATATGTATTGTTCATCCGATTTGTTATTTTAGTCCTCCGCAGCCGTAATATGCACTCTGTAACAACAATATTTGAGGAAATATATCAAATACAGCTCAGAAATACCTTAGCTCAATTTTATTGAGATCGGTTCCGATTTGGATATATCTCCCATATATAACTTCATCCGATTTACTTTTAATTGTGCACCAAACGTCCAATATTGGCCCAAATGGGATGAAATTTGGCACTTACGACCGAATTGAGTCTAGAAGCTAGTATGTCAAATTTGGTGAGGATCTGTTCAGATATAGCTATAGCTCCCATATATATTATTCATTCGATTTGTTATTTTAGTCTTCCGCAGCCGTAATATGCCCTCTGTACCAACAATATTTGGGGAAATATATCAAATACAGTTCAGAAATGTATTTGAGAAATTTTTTCAAGATCGGTTCGGATTTGGATAAATCTCCCATATATAACTTCGTCCGATTTCCCTTTTATTGTGCACCAAACGTCTAATATTTGCCTAAATTGGATGAAATTTGGCACTTAAGACAGAATTGAGTCTAGAAGCTAGTATGTCAAATTTGGTGAAGATCGGTTCAGATATAGCTATAGCTCCCATATATATTGTTCATCCGATTTGTTATTTTTGTACTCCGCAGCCGTAATATGCACTCTGTAACAACAATATTTTGGGATATATATTAAATACAGCTCAGAAATACCTTTGCTAATTTTTATCGATATCGGGTCGGATTTTTATATATATTTCCCATATATAACTTCGTCCGATTTACATTTTAATGTGCACCAAACGTCTAATATTTGCCCAAATTGAATGAAATTTGGCACTTACGACCGAATTGAGTCTTGAAGCTAGTATGTCAAATTTGGTGAGGATCGGTTCAGATATAGCTATAGCTCCCATATATATTGTTCATCCGATTTGTTATATTTGTTACCCACAGCCATAATATGCACTCCGTAACAACGATATTCAGGGAAATATATCAAATACAGCTCAGAAATACCTTTGCTAAATTTTATCAAGATCGGTTCAGATTTGGACATAGCTCCCATATATAACTTCGTCCGATTTACCTTTTATTGTGCACCAAAAGTCTAATATTTGCCCAAATGGGATGAAATTTGGCACTTACGACCGAATTGAGTCTAGAAGGTAGTATGTCAAATTTGGTGAGGATCGGTTCAGATATAGCAATAGCTCCCATATATATTATTCATCCGATTTATAATTTTAGTCCTCCGCAGCCGTAATATGCACTCTGTAACAACAATATTTGGGGAAATATATCAAATACACCTCAGAAATATCATTACCAAATTTTATCAAGATCTGTTCCGATTTGGATATAGCTCCCATATATAACTTCGTCCGATTTACCTTTTATTGTGCACCAAAAGTCTAATATTTGCCCAAATGGGATGAAATTTGGCACTTACGACCGAATTGAGTCTAGAAGCTTGTATGTCAAATTTGGTGAAGATCGGTTCAGATATAGCTATAGCTCCCATATATATTGTTCATCCGATTTGTTATATTTGTTACCCACAGCCGTAATATGCACTCCGTAACAACGATATTCAGGGAAATATATGAAATACAGCTCAGAAATGTATTTGAAAAATTTTATCGAGATCGGTCCGGATTTGGATGTATCTCCCATATATAACTTCGTCCGATTTACCTTTTATTGTCCACCAAACGTCTAATATTTGTCCAAATGGGATGAAATTTGGCAATTACGACCGAAATGAGTCTAGAAGCTAGTATGTCAAATTTGGTGAAGATCGGTTCAGATATAGCTATAGCTCCCATATATATATTGTTCATCCGATTTGTTATATTTGTTACCCACAGCCGTAATATGCCCTCTGTATTTGGGAAATATATTAAATACAGCTCAGAAGTACCTTTGCTAAATTTTATCGAGATCGGTTCCGATTTGAATATAGCTCCCATATATATCAAATGAGCAATACAAGTCCGAATTTAAAAGATACAAATGCTTCGGCATATTTAGTCTTTCGAACTTTAAATTATAGATATAATCATAGCGTGTGTGATTGAATTCTCCCATAAAAACTTTTAATTGTTATACGGAGCTCTACTAAATTAGCAAAGTGGTGTAGGGTATCATGAAGTCGGCCCCTCCCGACTTTAAGACTTTTTTTACTGGTTTTATCTGTATTAGATGAAGAATGGAATTGGAATGCTTCAATCGACTATATCTGGTAGCTCACGCACGTCAACATTTTCTAAAAAATATCATATATGTCATGTAAAGTGAAGGTCCAAACCTGGCACGTCGCAATATTTATCATATTTATTTAAGTCCGATACGAAATGGCCAATATTGGCCCATTCCTTCGAAACCTACTCCATAAGGAGTTAAACATTTGAATAATCATAACAAAAGTCAAGATATTTTTAAGCAATCGTACATTGGCTGAGGGTATACATCTGCCGGCAAAATCGACGGAAACTCTTTAACTTGTTTTAATAGAATATTGGTCTGTTCCAGAACTGCAAGAATGTTCAACTTTTTACTACGATTACCGATTTTCCCTTTGTTATATCGAAAAATTTTAGATTTTTGCAGATTCTGGAACAAAGCAAATATTTTCACCCACCATCAGAGCTAGATTTTTACCAATTTTTATACCCTCCACCTTGGAAACTGCAAGAATGTTCAACTTTTTACTACGATTACCGATTTTCCCTTTGTTATATTGAAAAATTTTAGATTTTTGCAGATTCTGGAACAAAGCAAATATTTTCACCCACCATCAGAGCTAGATTTTTACCAATTTTTATACCCTCCACCTTGGAAAGGAGGGTATATTAACTTTGTCATTTCGTTTGTAACATCCTTAAATATTCGTCTGAGACCCCATAAAGTATATATATTCATAATCAGCATAAAATTCTAAGTCGATTTAACGATGTCCGTCTGTCTGTCTGTCTGTCCGTCTGTCTGTTGAAATCACGATACAGCCCACATTATTTGACGTAGAGCGCCAAAATTTAGCAGAGCAATTTGCATTGTGTATAGAATGGTTGGTATTGATATATCGGTCCACGTTCTGGTATAGTCCCCATATAACGGTACCTCCCGATATTCGGTATTTTGATGATTTATGCCAAATTTTTTCATGGATTTGTCTGAAAATTGGTATTTGTAGGTCATGACGGGTCCCTGAGCGTGTGGCAAAACATTGCATGTATAGGCCCACGTTGTGGTATAGCCCCTATATAAAGGTACCTCCCGATATTCGGTATTTTAGTTTTTTTTGCCACATTTTTTCACGGATTTGTCTAAAAACTGGTATTTGTTGGTCATAATGGGTTCCAGCTCCGGTGGCGAAACATTGCATGTATGGGTCCATGATTTGGTATAGCCCCCATATAACGGTACCTCCCGATATTCGGTAATTTGATGATTTCTTCCACATTTTTTCACGGATTTGTCTGAAAATTGGTATTTGTTGGTCATAATGGGTTCCAGCTTCGGTGGCGAAACATTGCATGTATAGGCCCACGTTGTGGTATAGCCCCTATATAAAGGTACCTCCCGATATTCGGTATTTTAGTTTTTTTTCCACATTTTTTCACTAATTTGTCTCAAAATTGGTATTTGTGGGTCATAATGGGTCCTAGTTCGTGTAGCGAAACATTGTAATTATATGTCCATGTTTTGGTATAGACCCATATAACGGTACCTCCCGATATTCGCCATTTTAATAGTTTTTGTTTCTTTGTTTCTTTTACCCTAAGGTGGAGGGTATTAAAAGTTTGGCCCGGCCGAACTTAATGTTTTTTTACTTGTTTTTATCAACACTTACCTCCTGGTTAATTCATCCAATCTGCAAGTATTTTAACTTCAATTATTTTCAAAATCAATAGATTATATTCTCACGATACGAAATACCTTTTATTAATACTCTCGAAATTTTGTTCCAATTTTTCTGTGGCTTCCACAACCTTATTTAACTTTATGAACAGGTTCTTCCACAAAAATGCATTATCTTGGGAATCATTGGGGTCCTATGGAAATGAATAAAAAAAAAAAATAAAAAATGGAAGAAAATATTTAAAAATTCATGCTTACCAAATATTCTTTCATGACGCACTCCTGTTTCTCTCCAGCATAGGTGGCATGGATTATTAGCAGAAGTAACCAAAGAAATCTCATCATTGTTTACTTATCAAGCGCTGATTTCAAACTGAGCTTTTTAATCTTGTAATTAAAAAAAAAAATATTTGAAATAAAATTGAATTCTTATCAGCAGATTGATTCTGATGAACCGGCAAAATCCCCGAAGGCATTCCCGCAGTGTCAGTATCACTCAAGAAAACATTTTTTTTGTGAATGTTTAATAATTTGAAGTACACTCATTAAGAATTCTTGATTATAGCTCTAAAGGTGCAGCCACAAAAAAAGCTAATTTCACTGACATAAGTTATTGACTGGTCTTTTAAAAAATCCACGTCCATAGACCAAGAAGTCCTTAGGAAAAATATTTAAAAAAATCCACATCATAAAAATTGCGGTTTTTAAGAAAAAATCTCAAAAATTCCATGTTTATAAATCACGAATTCCTTGCGATTTTTCTTAAATCCATGTCAAGAAATTTTAAAGTCTTTAGAAGAGATTTACAGGAAAAAAAAGTTCAGCCTCCAGAAGAGGAACAATGGGGTTTTAGGACGACTTAGTTTGATTTTGACCCATTATTTATTCTTCTTCAACCTACGCTCTTTTGTTCTTTTACGAAGAAGCCAGGCGATGAATTAAGTCGGTAAAATAAGCTGTTTGGGTAGCTCTTCCTTGGCTAGCAAAAAATCTTAATTCAATTACACTGTGCGACAATTATTATGGGGAAACTCCAGCAGATTATGAAAGTATAGTTAAAACCAGTAAAGAAATTTTTAAAGTCGGGCGGGGCCGACTTTATGATACCCCACACCACTTTGCTAATTTAGTAGAGCTCCGCATAACAATTAAAAGTTTTTATGGGAGAATTCAATCATACACGCTATGACTATAATTATATATAATAAAGCATTTGTATATTTTAAATTCGGACTTGTATTACCCATTTGGTGCAAAATAAACTTGAAATCGGATAAATATATATATGGGAGCTATATCCAAATCTGAACCGATCTCGATAAAATTTAGAAAATGTATTTCTGAGCTGTATTTGATATATTTCCCTGAAAATCGTCGTTAAGGAGTGCATATTACAGCTGTGGGTAACAAATATAACAAATCGGATGAAGAGTATATATGGGAGCTATTGCTATACACCAAATTTGACATACTAGCTTCTAGACTCAATTCGGTCGTAAGTGCCAAATTCCATCTCATTTGGACAAATATTAGACGTTTGGTGCACAATAAAAGGTAAATCGGACGAAGTTATGTATGGGAGATATATCCAAATCGGAACCGATCTCGATAAAATTTGGCAAAGATATTTCTGAGCTGTATTTGATATATTTCCCTGAAAATCGTCGTTATGGAGTGCATATTACGGCTGTGGGTAACAAATATAACAAATCGGATGAAAAGTATATATGGGAGCTATAGCTATATCTGAACCGATCTTCACCAAATTTGGCATACTAGCTTCTAGACTCAATTCGGTCATAAGTGCCAAATTCCATCCCATTTGAACAAATATTAGACGTTTGGTGCACAATAAAAGGTAAATCGGACGAAGTTATATATGGGAGCTATATTCAAATCTGAACCGATCTCTATAAAATTTAGCAAAGGCATTTCTGAGCTGTATTTGATATATTTCCCCAAATATTGTTGTTACAGAGTGCATATTACGGCTGCGGAGGACAAAAATAACAAATCGGAAGAAAAATATATATGGGAGCTATAGCTATATTTGAACCGATCTTCACCAAATTTGACATACTAGTTTCTAGACTCAATTCGGTCGTAAGTGCCAAATTTCATCCCATTTGGACAAATATAAGACGTTTGGTGCACAATAAAAGGTAAATCGGACGAAGTTATATATGGGAGCTATATCCAAATCTGAACCAATCTCGATCAAATTTAACAAATGTATTTCTGAGCTGTATTTGATATGTTTCCCCAAATATTGTTGTTACAGAATGCATATTACGGCAACGGAGGACAAAAATAACAAATCGGATGAACAATATATATATGGGAGCTATAGCTATATCTGAACCGATTTCGATCAAATTTGGCATACTTATTTTCAAGCCTAATCTGGTTGTATGTTCAAAATTCCATACTATTCGGACTGATATTACACGTTTGGTGCACAATAAAAGGAAAATCGGACGAAGATATATATGGGAGCTATATCTAAATTTTGACCAATTATCACCAATTTCAATAGGGTTCGTCCTTGGGCCAAATAAATGATTTGTGCAAAATTTCATCTGGATAGGAAAATAAATGCGAGCTGTACTTTGTTTACAAAAATACATGGACACACGGACGGACGGACGGACCGACGGACGGACATGCATAAATCGACTCAGAATGTGATTCTATGGAGATCATCAAAAGGAACTATGGGTCTATCTCGTTTCCTTTTGCCTGTTACAAACAAATGCACAAAGACATAATACCCTGACCACCTTGTGGTGTAGGGTATAAAAACGGTACATCCCGATATTCGGTATTTTGAGGATTTTAGCGAAGTTATTTACCAGAATTGTTTCAAATTTGGTATTTGAAGTTCGTAATGGATATTACAGCCTACGACAGAAGATTGTCTCTGCAGGTCCAAGTCTTCGTAGAGCCCCCATATAACAGTACTTCCCTATATTCGGTATTTTAATGATTTTAGCAACATTTTTCACCGGAATTGTTTCAAATTTGCTATTTGAAGTTCGTAATGGATACTACAGCCTATGACAGAAAATTGTCTGTGCAGGTCCACGTCTTCGTAGAGCCCCCATATAATGGTACCTCCCTATAATCGGTATTTTAATGATTTTAGCGAAGTTATTTACCGGAATTGTTAAAATTTGGTATTTGAAGTTCGTAATGGATATTACAGCCTACGACAGAAGATTGTCTCTGCAGGTCCAAGTCTTCGTAGAACCCCCATAAAACAGTACTTCCCTATATTCGGTATTTTAATGATTTTAGCAACATTTTTCACCGGAATTGTTTCAAATTTGCTATTTGAAGTTCGTAATGGATACTACGGTCTATGACAGAAAGTTGCCTGTGAAGGTCCTCGTTTTGATATAGCCCTCATATAACGGCACCTCTCGATCTTCGGTATTTTGATGATTTTAGCTACATTATTCACCTATTTTTTCAAGTTTCGCGTTTGAATACTTTAATGCCTAATGGCAAAACTTGGCTATGCAGGCCCACGCCGTCGTATAGACCCGAATATTATGGCTACATTCGGTATTTTTAAGATTTTAACAGATTTTTTAACAGATCTTATTTTTTTGAAAATTGCCAAATTCGTATTCGGCGGCGCCGCACTAAAAGCTTTTTTACTTGTTTATACCCTCAGCCATACAGGGTGAGGTAAGAAAACACTGCAACAAAGTCAAACGCCTTACTTTTTATTTTTTTTAATTTTATTGAATGAAAGCAAAAAATGTCGGAAATAGTATCAAATTTTAGAATAAGTTTAGATTTGGTAACCTTTGGCACGAATTATGGCCTTTAAACGGCCAGTGAAACCGTCTCACGCTGCTCGAATGTTGCTCTGCGGTATTTTGGCTTATTCTCGGCGTAGCACTTGCTTGAGGTGATCGACATTTTGGTATTTTTTAGTGCCGATCTCGGAGATTTTGGTGCCCACTGTGCGCTGGGAATGAAGCGAGGAAACTCATTTTGTAACCATTCTTGGGTGGTGCGTGCTGAGTGCGATTTGCTGGTGCTGAGTCCTGTTGGAATGTCCAAGGTCTGCGCCCAAAATGTTTGCATGCCCAAGGCTTTAATACACCCTCTAGAATATCTTCGCGATAATATTCGGCATTTATTCTGATGCCACGGTCGATTAATACGAGCGGAGAGCGACTATCGGCTGTTATGGCGGCCTTCACTTTCACCATGGCCGGCGCTTGAGTTCTGGTGGCCAAACGAAGGCGCACATTTTCAGCTGACCTCTTTGACAAGTAAGGACGATCATTTTGTTTGTTTACAAACTGCTGGACAACGAATGTTTTTTTTTTCCATCGGAGAAACCCAAATTCCATATTCGGCAGTTCACCACTTTCGGTGGCTTTACCCTGAGCTCGTTTTTCAATATTTTCCGAATGGATTATTGTGATATGTTCAGCTCACGAGCCATTTTTTGGCCCCTGCGACGCGGGTTTCGATCAACTTTTCGAACCATTTCTGCTAATGTTGCTGTTCTTTCCGTCCACTTGCTTGACGTCGGGCTACGCTACCAGCTACCAGTATCACGGTAATGAGCGATGGTATGAGACACAAAAGATTTATTCACATCTAAATGCTGGAGTGCTCTAACGATAGCCACTTGCGGTTTTCCAGCCAAATATAAAGAAATCACACTATCACGCTTGAATTACATGACGAATAACTTTTTTTCTGGAAAATTCTCACCAAAATGCTTTTGTACGCTTGTAAACAATATAATCAGCTGTCACTGGAATAATTTTAACAGCTGTCGGACGAGAGGCTTAGAAATGACAGCAGTCTGAAGTTGGTTGCAGTTTTTTTTTTCATCTCAGCCTGTATGGCTAGAGAGGGTATATATCATTTGATACCGCAAAAACTTGCCGCATCGAAATAATGGTTTTAGACTCTTGGGACCAAATTCGTTTCAGGACATTTGGAGTCGATCTAGCGATGTCCGTCCGTCTGCCTGCTGCGCACGATTACTCTCGAAGGAAGTATCTGATTTGATACAAACTTGGTACATCGTAATGTTATTATCAAACTTAGATCGAGTTCGGAGATGGGCAATATCGGTCCACTCCTTCTGCTACCTCCCCCACAAAATTTCAACATTTTCCAAGAAAATAATTTACTGCACAAAAAGAGAAAGCATAATCCGATTTTGTTTCAACTTTGCATATCCTAATATTTACGTCAGTGCTAAGTCAGGTGCAAAAATGGACAATATCGGTCCAGTCCATCAAGTACCTCCCTCTCAAACAGCCAAAATTTGGAATAATTATAACTCTTATAAAATGTGATGTAAGAGCCCGACGGTCTTTAAATTACAAACATCACCATATTAACCAAAAGTCTGACGTGATGATGGAATATAT